GTAGAGACATGCCTACAGATATTGAGAAACTCTGCTGTGGTCAGCCTCCAGACCGCTGCATTAGTAATCTACCACACATGGACTTCTATATCCTGGATGAGGGAGTTCTGCGTCTAGCTCGTGCTGCGTGGAATGACATCTTTGCAGTCGATGACATCCAGGAACCAGGTGAAGAGCAGCGCTCATACAGACATGCAGCTTACAGCACGATCCCTTTCGCGTTTCCTCTTTTTAGCCTCCTCCGAAGGTTTAAAATTTTTCCTTGCCTCAGCCATGACCAGGAGTCGAGCAGGTGAAAAATGAGTAGCAAAAGCCTTAGCTCCATGAGTATATCAGCGCCTGTAGCCGTAAAGCAAATCTTTCTTCCAAGTCACGTGACCTGGTGGCAGACGGTCCGTCTGCTCGAAACTTACATGGGCGGTATTTCAAGAGGGCAGCCCCGCTCGGAGCATTGCAAGTGTCAAGCGCTGTATATTGGCCCAAGTATTCATATAAAATAACTCATATGTGTCAACTCTTTAGGTCACAAAGTCCGCGGTGTGCCTTTAAGAGATTTACTCAACTTCACTTAAAGGTATCTAAAGCATCTTGACTCCATGTTTGAATGGAACTAAAAATAGCTTAAAATGTACAGTGTGTATGAGTGGATCTAAAAGGCCTTTAAAACTAGACTGTGTTTGAGTGGATCTAAAAGGCCTTTAAAACTAGACAGTGTGTATGAGTGGATCTAAAAGGCCTTTAAAACTAGACTGTGTTTGAGTGGATCTAAAAGGCCTTTAAAACTAGACTGTGTGTTGGAGTGGATCTAAAAGGCCTTTAAAACTAGACTGTGTGTTGGAGTGGATCTAAAAGGCCTTTAAAACTAGACCGTGTGTTGGAGTGGATCTAAAAGGCCTTTAAAACTAGACTGTGTGTTGGAGTGGATCTAAAAAGCCTTTAAAACTAGACTGTGTTGGAGTGGATCTAAAAGGCCTTTAAAACTAGACTGTGTGTTGGAGTGGATCTAAAAGGCCTTTAAAACTAGACTGTGTTTGAGTGGATCTAAAAGGCCTTTAAAACTAGACTGTGTTGGAGTGGATCTAAAAGGCCTTTAAAACTAGACTGTGTGTTGGAGTGGATCTAAAAGGCCTTTAAAACTAGACTGTGTGTTGGAGTGGATCTAAAAAGCCTATATACAAATAAAGTGTATGAGTTTTGTTAAATATATGGTCTGATTTTCTATTACTTTACAGATTTGAGTATACTCACCCCATGAATAGGATTTAAATAATTAATTTCAATTTATTTTGTAACATCTAAAATCACAAAAGTCCAAATAGTCGTACAATACAATACAATACAATTTATTCTTGTATAGCCCTGAATCACAACAGAAGTAATCTCAGATGTCCTGGTATGTGTGGGACTAAAAGTAGCTAAAAACCTGACAGTGTGTATGTGTGGGACTAAAAGTAGCTAAAAACCTGACAGTGTGTATGTGTGGGACTAAAAGTAGCTAAAAACCTGACTGTGTGTATGCGTGGGACTAAAAGTAGCTTAAAACCTGACAGTGTGTATGTGTGGGACTAAAAGTAGCTAAAAACCTGACAGTGTGTATGTGTGGGACTGAAAGTAGCTAAAAACCTGACAGTGTGTATGTGTGGGACTGAAAGTAGCTAAAAACCTGACAGTGTGTATGTGTGGGACTAAAAGTAGCTAAAAACCTGACAGTGTGTATGTGTGGGACTAAAAGTAGCTAAAAACCTGACTGTGTGTATGCGTGGGACTAAAAGTAGCTAAAAACCTGACAGTGTGTATGTGTGGGACTGAAAGTAGCTAAAAACCTGACAGTGTGTATGCGTGGGACTAAAAGTAGCTAAAAACCTGACAGTGTGTATGTGTGGGACTGAAAGTAGCTAAAAACCTGACAGTGTGTATGCGTGGGACTAAAAGTAGCTAAAAACCTGACAGTGTGTATGCGTGGGACTAAAAGTAGTTAAAAACCTGACAGTGTGTATGTGTGGGACTGAAAGTAGCTAAAAACCTGACTGTGTGTATGTGTGGGACTAAAAGTAGCTAAAAACCTGACAGTGTGTATGTGTGGGACTAAAAGTAGCTAAAAACCTGACTGTGTGTATGTGTGGGACTGAAAGTAGCTAAAAACCTGACAGTGTGTATGTGTGGGACTAAAAGTAGCTAAAAACCTGACAGTGTGTATGTGTGGGACTAAAAGTAGCTAAAAACCTGACAGTGTGTATGTGTGGGACTGAAAGTAGCTAAAAACCTGACAGTGTGTATGTGTCGGACTAAAAGTAGCTAAAAACCTGACAGTGTGTATGTGTGGGACTAAAAGTAGCTAAAAACCTGACAGTGTGTATGTGTGGGACTGAAAGTAGCTAAAAACCTGATAGTGTGTATGTGTGGGACTAAAAGTAGCTAAAAACCTGACAGTGTGTATGTGTGGGACTAAAAGTAGCTAAAAACCTGACAGTGTGTATGTGTGGGACTGAAAGTAGCTAAAAACCTGACAGTGTGTATGTGTGTGGACTAAAAGTAGCTAAAAACCTGACAGTGTGTATGTGTCGGACTGAAAGTAGCTAAAAACCTGATAGTGTGTAAGTGTGGGACTAAAAGTAGCTAAAAACCTGACAGTGTGTATGTGTGGGACTGAAAGTAGCTAAAAACCTGACAGTGTGTACTGTATGTGTGGGACTAAAAGTAGCTAAAAACCTGACATTGTGTATGTGTGGGACTGAAAGTAGCTAAAAACCTGATAGTGTGTAAGTGTGGGACTAAAAGTAGCTAAAAACCTGACAGTGTGTATGCGTGGGACTAAAAGTAGCTTAAAACCTGACAGTGTGTATGTGTGGGACTAAAAGTAGCTAAAAACCTGACAGTGTGTATGCGTGGGACTAAAAGTAGCTTAAAACCTGACAGTGTGTATGTGTGGGACTAAAAGTAGTTAAAAACCTGACAGTGTGTATGCGTGGGACTAAAAGTAGCTAAAAACCTGATAGTGTGTAAGTTTCGGCATCACAAGTATAGCAATACCTGTTAAGTTCCCAGAAGTATAGTAACAATCTGGTGTGGGACATTGTTTGTGAAATCTTGGATTTTGACGTGATATTACTGTTCAGGACCTCCAGGGGGCCATGCCTGATTTTTTTTGCTGCTGTAAACCCTACAGAAAGGCTGGGTCCCACAATGCATGTCCTGGTCTGGTGGTCCCACGAGATGATAAAGACAAGTATGTGTGTGTGTGTGTGTGTACAGTGTGCTGACCTGATCCATGCTGCAGACTGACTGAAAGTGTAGTTGTGCAGCTTGGATCAAGTTGTGCTCCCCCTCAACCCTGATTAGCATTTGTATAGCTCACAGCATTTCCATTTACATGTTAAAGCCTCCTGTGGAGGAGGGAGGAGGGGACAACAAACTACCGTCAACAGCCGAATCCCAGAAGTTTCACAGTAATATACAGGGCCGAAAAGAGACGAAAATCACACTTTTCATGCAGTGATTTCCAAAGACTTTAAGACTTTTGTACACCTTTGAACTGGAACATCTGGAGCTGATTATATACTGTAACCCTGTGAGTACAGACCTTCGGAAACAATAGTGTGTAAAACATGCGCCACCATTGTACTATTGGTGTGAAAGGCCCTATTCCCTATTTTTCACAGGGATCTTGCCACTAGGGATGGGCGGATCGATACCAAAATATCGATATTTCGATCCAGGTGGCTCAAATTTAAGGATCGATCCTCAAGTTAAAATATCGATACTTCTAATTAAATTAATATATTTTATTTTTCTGTAATAATCCTATATTTTCTGCACACACAAACGACTTTTCCTTCCGCTTTCTGCACTCACGCAGCGCCAGCACAAACTACTTTTCATTCCGCCATCTGCACAACACAAGCTGCTGCTGGCGTCTGCCCCCTCCGCCCCCTCCTTTCCTCACATGTGCTCCGTGAGCCGGACCTCCAAATAAACACAGTGACGGCATGCAGGAGGTGAAGCAACATGGCCATGGCGTCGAGCGTAAGAGGAGTCTTGTTTGGAGTCATTTTCGATTGCTTAACAGCAGCGATGCAAGATGCGATGTGTGTGACAAGACTGTGAAATATTGTGGCAATACCACCAATCTAACGAAACATTTAAAAAACGTGCATCCGACGGTGCACGAAGAGTTACAGAAGAAACGAGCTGTGACTGAGGCAGCGGGAGGAGAAAGCAGTACAGCAGCAGCACCGAGGCAAAGTACATTACAAGAGGCGTTTCACAAAGGCAGGGTATATCCAGGTAAAACTTGTTTGATAGATAACCAAAAGACATGAGCATTACTGGTCGATGTGCAATATTAAACAATGGTCAAATGCTGTGATACATTTTATTGATGTATGTTACCTAAAAAGTCCCAATCTGTGCTAGAAAACATGTAGGTACTTTACTGGCTTTACATTTGATCTAATACAAGTAAAGTAAATATGAAGGGGAAATGTGTACATCAATGTACGTGTTCAGTGTTCAATTTGAGGGATGAACTCCGCTGGATCCCTTATACCATAATACCTACAAAAAAGCATATTTATTTTTCATCTTGCACTTGCTATTAAGCACCTGTATTGATAAATTACCCCTTTTGTTCATATAAGCCATGTAGAAGACTGTTTTGTTCAGCTGTTGATCCAATATATATATTAAAAATAAAAAATAAAACTACTTCCGGTATCGGTATCGGATCGATATCGACCCTTTTGCCCCAGGTATTACTTGGTATCGGATCGAATCCAAAATCACTGGTATCGCCCATCCCTACTTGCCACAGTAATGCAAAGATTTCTTTTCACACATTCATTTATGATATAGGCCTACTTAACAAAAGCAAAGCAAACAATTTTCACTACAAGTTTAATGTAATTACTTGAAATGGAATTGCATCTCATGTGATGAAGTGTTTATCTATTAAGCTTGATTATAATAAAATGCCTACTTTGTAATGTGAAGCTCCCAGGTTGTCAAAGCATTCCTCTCTGTTTGCATAAAGAACAGCATATCTTATGGGGCGGAAACCAGAGGCCCAAATTTTCATCCTCCTCCTCCCATCCTCTGCCGGCCGACCTCATCTCCCCCACGTCCTCCTGCTCCTCATTAGATCTGCCGGCCGACCTCATCTCCCCCACGTCCTCCTGCTCCTCATTAGATCTGCCGGCCGACCTCATCTCCCCCACGTCCTCCTGCTCCTCATTAGATCTGCCGGCCGACCTCATCTCCCCCACGTCCTCCTGCTCCTCATTAGATCTGCCGGCCGACCTCATCTCCCCCACGTCCTCCTGCTCCTCATTAGATCTGCCGGCCGACCTCATCTCCCCCACGTCCTCCTGCTCCTCATTAGATCTGCCGGCCGATCCCATCTCCCCCACGTCCTCCTGCTCCTCATTAGATCTGCCGGCCGACCTCATCTCCCCCACGTCCTCCTGCTCCTCATTAGATCTGCCGGCCGACCTCATCTCCCCCACGTCCTCCTGCTCCTCATTAGATCTGCCGGCCGACCTCATCTCCCCCACGTCCTCCTGCTCCTCATTAGATCTGCCGGCCGACCTCATCTCCCCCACGTCCTCCTGCTCCTCATTAGATCTGCCGGCCGATCCCATCTCCAGCACGTCCTGCTGTTCCTCATCAGATGAGTCAATCTGCATTTAACAGAATTAGTAGTAGTAGTAGTAGTAGTAGTAGTAGAATGTAAAAATTTAAGCAATTACAATGTGAAACTCACTATGATGCTCGGGGTTTTGGGAGGTGCCCGCCTCCTCCTCTGGCGGGTTGAGGGTCCCGCCTCTTCTGCCCCGGCGCCACGGAGCTCTGCCACTTCCCTCTGTAGAAAGAATTCAGATACACAGGTAGAAATATGGTTAGATAGGAAGTCAGATAAAATAACTCTGCCGGCCGACCCCATCTCCTTTACGTCCTGCTAGTAGTAGTAGTAGTAGTAGTAGTAGAAGTAGTAGTAGTAGTAATAGTAGTAGTAGTAGTAGTAGTAGTAGTAGCAGCAGTGGTAGCAGAATGTAAAAATTAAAGCAATTACAATGTATATTGATAAGAGCGGAGCCGGTGTTTTTCAAACATGGCTGAGGCAGAGAGTTATTAACCCTCCACGCCACGATTCATTCAAAATATTGGAGCAAGACTGCATTGAACCAGTGCAGAATAGCGACGCGAAAGTTAGTGTGAAGCGCACTAACTTTAGACACTTTGCACAGAGTCAGTGGGAACAGTGTTTCTCAGGGTCAGGGCTGTCATTGGTAGGTTCTGAGACAGGTTAGATTTGCGAAGAACAAACCTAGAAGTCATGTCGTGGCGCCTGCGCCGCAACTCCAGCCTCTGCTATAGTCTCCGCTAAAATCTCCGCAAATAGTGCCTCCCACAGATGTATTATCGTGCCTCCCGCCATCACCGGGACAGTAACGTGTTGGAGAAGCCTTTGTCTGGTGTTTGTTAGACGAGAGAGAGAGCGAGAGAGAGGGCAGGGGAGATGAGAGAAAGGGGGAGACGAGAGAGAGAGAGTGGGGGAGACAAGGGAGAGAGTAGGGGAGACGAGAGAGAGAGTAGGGGAGACGAGAGAGAGAGTGCGGGGGAGACGAGAGAGAGAGCGGGGGAGACGAGAGAGAGAGTGCGGGGGAGACGAGAGAGAGAGTGCGGGGGAGACGAGAGAGAGAGTGCGGGGGAGACGAGAGAGAGAGTGCGGGGGAGACGAGAGAGAGAGTAGGGGAGACAAGGGAGGGAGTAGGGGAGACGAGAGAGAGAGTGCGGGGGAGACGAGAGAGACAGCGGGGGAGACGAGCGAGAGCAGGGGAGACACATTTTATGAAAATTCTAAAATCCACAATTTCAAACACCATATGACATCATAATATGCTAATTAGATGGGTACACTGTCTTATTCCTTACATAAACTTTTGGCCATCCTTAATACTTTTTATTTTTCAGAAAGTCTTTATCTATCACTTTTAAGTTATAGCCTTTTGAAATAAAAATTTCAAAAGTTTTTGAGTACAGTATATGCACTAAACAACGTACAATTACCACTCAATAACGTACAATTACCACTCAACAACGTACAATTACCACTCAACAACGTACAATTACCACTCAACAACGTACAATTACCCTAAAACTGACTTAATTACACAAACGCGTGTTGTCTGTAATTGCTCTTAGGGTTAAACAACAATACCTGTTTTTGTGCACTTTACTTTTATACTGCATAGCATACATTTGTATGTTTCTTTGTGTTGATCCAAGGCCACGTTTTTTAATTAATAACGGGATGGAAATTAAAAATGCTTTTTGTTGAGTTTGTGCTCCCACTATAATTATTATTATTATGATGAATGTTTACGCCTGTATTTATGTTGAGAAGATTGTTTTATTTATGTGTCGATAACTCTGTTTTCTTTTCCTGTTTACCAATGGGCGTGGTTAATAAATTGTCCAGCGCCGCAGCTGACGTCGGTTGCGCGTAATGGAATGAATGGAATGCAGTGTGTCCCGAGTTCTATTTCCTCCATATATTTCGGTTAGGTTGTCTCTTTATCTGGGTTCACAACGCGAATCTGCTGCTGGATTACCTCTGCCAACACTTTTTTTATCCGATTAATCAAAGAAATAATTGACAGATTAATCGATTATTAAAGGAGCAATATGTACAAATCTGGCCAAAGGTGGTACTGCAGTCACAGTCAATATTTTGTAGCTGTTAGGAAGAAGCCTTCCTAACAAACTGTAACATACATTTCCAGAAACTAGAAGGTGTTACCTTTCAAATGAGGCATCATAACACAACATCAGACACAAGATGTCCACACAATAAGCATTTCCATTTGAGTATCATAATTCGAAAAGGAACAGGCGAAATTAGGTGATCCTTAAAGGGTTAACCGAGCAAGCGAGGTTAATAAATGTTTTATTATATGACTATTTTTAATTTATGCGAATATCGATCTCCAACTCGGTTTTCCAAATTGTTTTTAGCTTTCTGATCTGTAACAAAGTTGTCAATATCTAAATTTGAAATTTTACACCTTTAAGTGGAACTATTTTGATGCTGGGGGCTTTTTTGTAACTAATGGGCACATTCGGCACAAGTGGTCCATTTTTGTGCCAACTGTGCCAAAGTGTTTTACATGCAAATTATCAATGTTTTTACACCAAAAATCTAATTTTTTGGCTATTACTCTTGCTATAAATAGCATTTTTTCCAGATATTGAAATGTTTGCAGAAAAGCTATTATTTATATAGTTATAGCGCGTGTTCTCCGTGAAAGAGGCTCAGTCTTCCTCATTCAAATATGACTGGAACTGTGGGAGGAACCTTGAAGTCCGACACATCGCCTGAAATGTAAATCAAAACAGCTTGACCTCAGCTGACAGAGAACCTAACGCTTTCAGAAATATGGGATTTTGTGGGGATTTCAGTGTCCCTTGTCATCCTGAACTTTTTTTCTTCTTAAATCTTTTGGTTTTCTTTAAATCCACACTTTACTGCTGTTAGCAGAGTGAATTATACAGTGTTTAACGTGTCAGCCTTAAAACACAATGCAACATACTTGATTTCTTCAGTCATTTATTCAATCACACTTGTCACAGGTGTAGGTGATCCTTAAATCATATAGTCACGCCAGACTGGGATGACGTTGAAAACTAATAACAAAATGAGAGCACATCTCAACACTCCCACTTGATCACATTTTTGAATTGACATTTCTTAAAGTGATTGTCTGGAGCTTGTCAGAGAGACGGAGAGGTGCAAGCTCCTCCCCCTTCCTTTCTGATTGGTCTACACCTACGTTTCCGTAACACTTTGAAATGTTAATCAGAGAACACATACATATACATTATAAATACACATGCACGGAAGTTTTCAGAATAATCTGTGAACGTTTTAATGAAAAAAATAATGTTTTTATGCACAAAAAAAGCGATCGCGGCCAACCAGGAAGTGCTATTATCATGAATTGCACATCACAGGACACATCTGCAGAGGATCTGATTATGGATGTTCAGAATATACATAAGTACCTCAGCGCGGATGATTGACAGCCCTTGGCAGGACTCGATTGGTTAACCTCGACGGCACCGTGGATTCTGAACTATAGCTAAGAGCAGGGAAGGCGGGACTTACCTGTAATATTAGAATTAATAAAATGACTTATTTTATATCAACATTTAAGGCCAGGAGGTCAATTTAACACATTTCCTAAAATGTGTAATTCATTCAGAGTTACAGACTATCACTTTAAGTAAACACAAGTACCATACACCTTTAACATAGGCATCATTTAAGTTTTAAACACCAAACATAAACATATCAAACTTCACCATTTGTAACTTGGTCGCTGGCTTTGTGAGTACATCAGCAACCATTTCATTAGTAGGACAGTATATCCAATGAATCCTGCCTGTGTCTAATGTGGACCTCACAAAGTGGTATTTGATATTCACATGCTGACACCTTTGTCGCTGCACAGGATTCTTGGCTAAAGCTATAGCCCCCTGATTGTCCTCATATAGATGACATGTATATTATTTGACCATCGACACACTCCAAGAGCTGTTGTAAGTAAATACACTCTTGCATGGTCGCAGCCAAAGCCATGTACTCGGCCTCACAAGTGGACAGAGCCACAGTGGGTTGTTTTTTGGTCCGCCATGACACTAGTGGCCCATCTTTGTTGAGGCTGGTACAGTAACCACTCGTGCTCCTGCGGTCACTCACATCTGCAGCCCAATTAAAATCCCTGTAAGCATAAATTATAGACTCATCTATGTACTTTCTGAAACTGAGGCCTTTGTCTTCTGTTCCGTTTAAATATCTTAAAGTGTGCTTAACAGTGGTCCATTGTTCTAATGTAGGTCTTGTAAAGTACTGTGACAGTTTATTGAGCACAAAACTCAGATCTGGTCTGGTACAGGTTGCTAGGTAGATGAAGCTACCCGCAGCCTCTCTGTACTTGGTAACATCGCTGTAGTCCAGTTTGTGTTCGCAGATTGTAGCTCTGGCTTTACACTTCACCATGTCCAACCTTTCCAATATTTTATGTGTGTATTTGGATTGGGACATCTTCACACAACTATCTGTCCGCTCAAGGTCTATACCCAAAAAAAATCCTTCATTTTGAATTTGGACTGGACCATCTCTTTCACACATTTTAAGACAATTACATCACTGGTTGCAATAATCAATTCATCAACCCAAATTATAATGTAAGTCTTGTCCTTGTTTACTCTGGTATACACACAATGGTCAGTTCTGCTAATCTCCCGGTCTCCATGAAGTCCCATGCGCTACTGAGCACAAGCCATTCGTTTGAGTAGGGCGCCATCTTGGATCACTGGGGGCTTGGCTAACACATGCAGGTTCATGTTAGCTAACACATGCAGGTTCATGTTGGCTAACACATGCAGGTTCATGTTAGCTAACACATGCAGGTTCATGTTAGCTAACACATGCAGGTTCATGTTAGCTAGCACATGCAGGTTCATGTTAGCTAACACATGCAGGTTCATGTTAGCTAACACATGCAGGTCCAGGTTAGCTAACACATGCAGGTCCAGGTTAGCTAACACATGCAGGTACAGGTTAGCTAACACATGCAGGTTCATGTTAGCTAACACATGCAGGTACATGTGTCACACCTGTGTGTGTGTGTGAAGACGTGTGTGTGTGTGTAACTTTTTGTTTTAAGGACTGTGTGTGTGGACCTGTGTGTATGAAGACCTGTGTGTGTGTGAAGACTTGACGTCTAGGGACTTTGTTTTGTTTAGTTTGTTCTGTATTCATTCTTGTTGTTGTTGTTGTTCTTGTTAGGGTTAGGTTTGGGATAAGGTTATTGTTCATTTATATCCAGTGGGTGTTTTGGTTCCAAGTAAGTCCATCCAATATTTTGCTCTGTCTCTCCTCTCTCTGTCCGTCCAGGTACAATTGGCCTGGAGTCCGGACAGCTCCAGTGTCTCCAGGCCGTGTACCAGGAAGTGAGACAGGCAGAGTGAGAAGGAGGAGGAGGTACTCCTAAGTCTCCCCTCCTGTTCCCCGAGTGAGTCCCTTGTTTCTCCCACATATTGTAATTTTCACCTCCTGCACCTAATCAAATACACCACATTTTGTGTCTGGGGCCAAAGGTTTGGGTCACCTTATAAAGGAGTCCCTTAGCTCCGTTGTGTACAAAAGTCCTCCGGCTCAGAGAGGTCCCTTCCCTGATGGGAGGGTCCAGATCCTGGAGTGACTTGAGCTTAGCTGTGACCAAACGATCCTTTCGATTTTTATTCCTTCTGTATGCCCCAATGAATCTATGGTTAGGCAGGAGTCCCTGAGTATGAATGAACTTATGATAATTCTCTCTGAGTCCAGGTCTCAGTGAGAGGGAAGTCTCTGAAAAAGTGGAGATGAAGGGGACCACTTCTCCCGTGGGTCTGTCTTTGAGCTCCTCAAATGTGGAAAGGCAAGTTCTCAAAAGCAGGTACCTGTTAGCTAACCACCTTCTCATCGACATGTAGCTCCAAATAGGTATGTAGCTCACTGCAGTTCTTTAAAGCACATGCAGTTCATGTGTAGCAGATGCGTTTGAAGCGAATGGTTCATGTTAGCTAGCACATGCAGGGACAGGTTAGCTAACACATGCAGGTCCATGTTAGCTAACACATGCAGGGACAGGTTAGCTAACACATGCAGGTCCATGTTAGCTAACACATGCAGGTACATGTTAGCTAACACAGGCAGGTACATGTTAGCTAACACATGCAAGTACAGGTTAGCTAACACATGCAGGTACATGTTAGCTAACACATGCAGGTACATGTTAGCTAACACATGCAGGTACATGTTAGCTAACACATGCAGGTCCATGTTAGCTAACACATGCAGGTCCATGTTAGCTAACACAGAGTTATCGCTCTGGGGAAGCACTTTATTTTTAAAGCTACAAATTTGTTTTCAGTGAATATTCAGTACTTCAAAAGGTGGATCTATCCATCTTTAATTTGTGAAGAATATATGATTGAAATGAATAAATACACTAAAAGAAAACATGTTTTCAACTTCTTGGGACACATTTAACTTTTGATAAGTGCCGGTGGTCCTGACCTAAGGAATGGAGATGTTTTACTGAATTGGATGTATGCACATACATGCTTTGTTATTACTTATTTATTTTTGTTTATATCTTATTTTCTATGTTTATTATTATTATTATTTTTTCTTGTTTGTTCTGTTTTGTGGTTGTACTTTTGTGTTTTATGTTGTGTTGTTTTTGTGTTCATGTTCTTGTCTGTTTTGTGTCTTTAATTAAAAAAAGAAATGCTTCTGCAACAGTTTATTGTCTTTGTTTATTTATGGCTGATGAGTGGCTTGGAATAAAAGTATCCACTCCCCTCTGTAAGAACTGCATTTGACTTTATCACTAGTTTCATTATTTACTTATATTTGCCTCTTCAAGTCCAGTCAAGGTTATTTATGTAGCACATTCCCGTACACAGGTCAGTGAGCTTCTTGCCTGTGGTGGCGAACATGGAAACAGAATTATCCAATGCATTCTTAAGACGTCTTCTTTTCTCTCAATTTCTTTCTCTGTTTACAGCCTGCTCCAAAAGTCTGCTCTTGGCTCAGCGCTAAGTTCCTGATGTGTGTCAAAGCCCCAGGACTAAAGACTAAAGTTAGACCAGTGACCCTGGTACTACAGCTCTTCAAAATTCAATAAAAAGTGATCCGCGAGGCCCAGGGACACGGAGGGATTCTGACTTAGAGGCGTTCAGTCATAATCCCACAGATGGTAGCTTCGCACCAGTGGCTCCTCAGCCAAGCACATGCACCAAAAGTCTCGCCACATTTCAGGCTTCAAACATAAAGATATACAAAAAATATTTTTTATCAAGAATCAACAACAAGTGGGACACAATCGTGAAGTGGAACGAAATTTATTTAAACTTATAACAAATAAAAAACTGAATGAACAAAACACACAAAAAACTGATCAATCCTTTTGGGTTTGTCGGGTCTTTCTTTTCTTTTGTATGTCCATCAAGACCACCCTTGGGCTTTTGACCGGGGAGTATTTACTTTTAATCCTCTTAACACTTCTCTGGATCTATAAAGAGGAAAAAGAAATCAGGAAAAAGACCACAAGACTTGGTCAAATGTAAAGTGTTATCACTCACATTGCTCGGGGAGCGTGTTCTTTTGGCCCCTTCACCTGCCGCAAGTAGCCGCCGGCGCACTGGGGTCAGCGCTGCTGCTCGAGAGCCGCCAGAGGAGGAGGTCGACGGTCCGGGACAATTCTCGGCGGAGGTCGACGGTCCAGGGAAGTTCAGCGGTTCAGAAGGCACAAGACATGCCTTCTCCCCACAGCTCAGTGCAATAAAGCACTGCCGCATCTCCTTCGCCTTGTGCACGGTTTTGTAAAGTGCGTAAAATCGCTCCTGGGTGTCCAGACTGTGGCACATAAATTGCGCCACAGATTCCCGGGTCGCCCTGTCGCAATTTTGCTCGAAGTTCTGGAGAAAACAAAACGGAAATATAAGCGAGAAACCTATATGTTAACAATAGGTACATCTTTCATTTCAACTTACGAAGGTTGACACCGCCGTCCGGATGTCAAGGAAATCGGGCTCACCCTTGAGCCCGATCTCCTGCCACGCCCGGATCATGTACCCTTTAAGGTCTTTCATGACCCCCTTGCCGTTGTTCAAAAAAAAGAAGCTGTTGGACGGCACCCCCCGGTTGAGCAGGCCCAGCCACCGGGTGCACCAACCATATTCCTCTGGGGTGAGGTATATCTGGGCCATGCCATATTTATGCGTGGTCTTGTGATTGCTCACCTGCACAAAAAGGAAAGTGTATACCATTTGGTGTTTCTGTAATGGGCGTTCACTTCTAGATGGGAATTGCACTTACATTGACGAGGTAGCCAGCGTTTTCATCACCCTTGGCCTCCCTGACCTCCCTGGCCAGCAGGTTCGTGTAAACACACGACCTGTGGCCATAAATGGAGGCCAGGTAGGCCGCCAGGTGCCCGAAGAAACGGAAGCGGCTCAAACAGTCCTCGATGGGCGCAGCCTCCACCTCATCTGAAGAGACACACATAAATTACAACCCACTCAAAATGTCAGGTTAACACATTTTGAAGAAGGATATTACCCAGGAGGGTGGGGATGACATCCCTGCACGCCTCAATGCAGCGCGTCAGGTCCTCCCGGGAAATCAGCCGGTCCAGCTTTTTGGCCTTGACGGCCTGCTGGTGCGCTGTCACACGCCGGCTGAAATCCCGGGCCAGTTTGGCCACTTCGTGGTGGAGGATCCTGACGCGCTGGCTGGAGATGCGGCTGCCCTTCTGGCCGAACTTTATCAAGTACTCGAAAAAGGCCTTCGCGTTGGCCAGAAAGATCACCACTGTCGTGGGTTCTTTCCCAAGGGCCTTTTGGATTATGGACATCTGTTTAGCTTAGAGCTAACGTTAGCGTTAGCTTAGAGCTCTGGCGCCCTTTCATAGGCGCCATTTCTAAACTGGCAGCGAACTACTGAATTTATTTTGCTGACATTAGCACGATTATGACATTTATTTTAATCTGTCAAGGTGAAGTGGCTGTTCTGGCATCATTGTAATGATGCAGACCCCACCAACTATATTTGTAAGATGCATTTGTTTGTTCATTTGTCCATAATATATGCCACAGGCACAGAGAGACGGGCTCACACTGTACTCTACATTCCCCAATTTCAAATGTAGTGTCACCAAAATTGTAGAGAGGGTGCCACACAGACAGTTTTATGGTCAAATGTGAGATTGTATCTAATTTTCAGAAAAATGCCAAAAAATTGACCAGAACATGCAGAGAATTTTGGTTGTCCTTTATTGGCCCAGTTAACCTGGAAGTTCAGTTCTCAACGTTTATTGTTGCTATGTTTAATTATTTTGATGTTTGTTTTCTAGCACCAGAATCTTCAGACAGTCTACAGAATCAGGCAAGACATTATAAAATCAAGGCCAGGCCAAACAAGAAGGATGTTGCCCAGCTCCTTAACCTTGACCACGTGACAAAGGAACAGGACAGGCTTGTCAAGATCCTTGAGGTGTATCCCTGCTTTGGAGTTTTGGACCATGTAAGCAAATGTATACATTTTATAGAGAGCACAGTTTTATCGAGTTTTCAAGAAAATCATGAGGCCTCCACTGTTGGGCAAAGGTTAATACAGAATATAACAAATTGGGATAATATATGATATATACATAAGATAACAGAAATGTTTGTTTAATTACTCACTGCAGGAAAACCAACTTTTTTTTTAAACAGCAAAGCAGTTAATCGCCCTGGTGAAGGCGTTGCCAAACTTATTCCCATCACCTGTGGCTCCACCCAAGAGGTTGGGAAATGCAAGTGAGGCTTTGCTTCACATCCTTGAGGTAAGAAAACATAAAGCCATATGGATTTTTAAATAATTTAACCATTCATTAATAAAGATATTTTTCTTTTTGTGTGTGTCAGCCTTCAGACAACCCCAACACCTTTCTACAAGCAAGAACACTCTCCAGCCCGGTCGTAGTTGTCTGTTAAACCAACTGCATACTGGCTATTAGGTCCATGCCTGTGTTGACTTTCCCAAAAGAGGATATTGATGCCAGCGTAATGTATTTTGGTTTTCTTTTTTTCTTTTGCCTTAAATGTCGTTTTTAGGTGGCTCTTGTAGTTGCGCTGTGTTTGAGTGCGTTAACAAAGTAATCTGACGAGTTTTTACATAGATTACCATTTCCAGTCACAGTACAGTCCGTAAAGGAAAAAAACTATTTGGTTTTACCTAGCTTTAGTTCAGACAGCAGTTACCGGAAACAGGTAGCTATAGTGCTACACTCTGCCCCCAGAGTGAAGAGCTGTAGTTGCCTGTCTGCTATCTGCTGGTTGTAGTAACTCTTGGTAAAACCAAATGTTTTTGGGGGTTTTCGTACCAATAGTAGTCTGTAACAAAACAGAGAACTATATGAAAACTCAACAGATTTTTACTGTAATAGTATAAATTCTGGATTTTACTCTTTCTACTTTAGAGAAAATGTTGATGAAAAGCAATAAAGACATTGTTAAGAAATGCATGAATGTTATTTTCATAGTACCCAGTCTGATAAATGTTTTTCAGGTGGTTTACAGTGGCATTGTTTACTAAATTAGGTTTAGTAATTCACTACAAGCATCATACTCACCCACTGTTCATAGAGTTGAAAGAATTTAAATTACACGATTTGATTCACTTTAGAACTGCTCAGATTATGTTCAGGGCATCAAAAAACTCTCTGCCTCCAAATGTTCAGAATTTATTTCGTGACAGAGACGCGCATCATAGTCATAGACTAAGAGTAAATAAAAATGTATACTTGCCTAAATTTAGGACCACTTTAAAGTCAATGTGTGTCTCAGTGCGAGGAGTTTCTCTATGGAATACCTTAAAGGATTAACTTAAAAATAGTACAAATCTGACTCAATTTAAAGCTTTGTTTAAAAAAGATGTACTAAAGAAATACAAGGAGGAAAGAGAGTGATGCCCTCAGCACAGAGCGAGTGATAGCAGAGAGGGGTGGGGTCAGAGTGTTCGGGCCTGTGTGTGTGGGTGTGTGTGTGTGAATGTGCGTGTATGCGCATGGGTTGTTTTTTTGTTTAGTTTTTTTTATATATATATATATATATATATACAAAAAAAAAAAAAAAAAAAATCCACTCACCTTTGGCCCTCCGCGGGCGGTTATCCCTCTCTAAGCTCGGGTCCTCTACCAGAGGCCAGGGAGCTTGAGGGTTCTGCGCAGTATCTTTGCTGTTCCTAGCACTGCACATTTCTGGACCGAGATGTCCGAGGTTGTTCCGGGGATCCGCTGTAACCACTCATCTAGCTTCGGGGTCACTGCCCCGAGTGCACCGATCACCACGGGCACTACTGTCACCTTTACCCTCCAGGCCCTCTCCAGCTCCTCTCTGAGACCTTGGTATTTCTCAAGCTTTTCATGTTCTTTTTTCCGGATGTTACCATCGCTTGGAATTGCCACGTCCACCACCACGGCTGTCCTCTGCCCTTTGTCTACCACCACGATGTCAGGTTGGTTTGCCATTACCATTCGGTCGGTCTGTATCTGGAAGTCCCACAGGATCTTCGCACGCTCATTTTCCACCACCTTTGGAGGAGTTTCCCACTTAGACCTTGGGGTTTCCAGCCCATACTCTCCACAGATGTTTCTGTACACTATGCCAGCCACTTGGTTATGGCGTTCCATGTAGGCCTTCCCTGCCAGCATCTTGCACCCTGCAGTTATGTGTTGGATCGTCTCAGGTGCCTCTTTGCACAACCGACACCTTGGGTCTTGTCTGGTGTGGTATATCTGGGCCTCTATCGCTCTGGTGCTCAGTGCCTGTTCCTGTGCAGCCATGATGAGTGCCTCTGTGCTGTCCTGTAGGCCAGCCCTTTCTAGCCATTGGTAGGACTTCTTGAGATCAGCCACTTCTGTTATGCTCCGGTGGTACATGCCGTGTAGGGGCTTGTTCTCCCATGATGGGCTCTCCTCCAGCACCTCCTCATCTCGCCACTGCCTGAGACATTCACTGAGTACGTCATCCGTTTTGGCCTTCTCCATGATGTAGTTATGGAGTTTGGATGTTTCGTCCTGGACAGTGGCTCTCACACTCACTAGTCCTCGGCCTCCTTCTTTACGGCTTACGTACAGTCTCAGGGTGCTGGATTTGGGATGGAACCCGCCATGCATGGTAAGGAGCTTTCGAGTTTTAACATCCGTGGTCTGAATCTCTTCCTTTGGCCACCTGATTATTCCTGCAGGGTATCTGATCACTGGCAGGGCGTAGCTGTTAATTGCCCGGGCCTTGTTCTTGCCATTGAGCCGGCTTCTTAGGACCTGCCTTACTCGCTGGAGGTATTTGGCAGTTGCCGCTTTCCTCGTCACCTGTTCGAGGTTGCCATTTGCCTGTGGTATACCGAGATACTTGTAACTGTCCTCAACGTCTGCTATTGTTCCCTCTGGGAGTGAGATCCCTTCTGTGTGGACTACCTTGCCTCTCCGAGTCACCATCCTGCTACATTTCTCGAGCCCGAATGACATCCCGATGTCATGGCTGTAGATCCTGGTTGTTTGGATCAGAGAGTCGATGTCTCTCTCGCTCTTGGCGTACAGCTTGATGTCATCCATGTAGAGGAGGTGACTGATCTTTGCTCCGTTGCTGAGGCGGTATCCATAGCCAGTCTGGTCAATTACTTGGCTTAGAGGGTTGAGGCCTATGCAGAACAGTAGTGGGGACAGAGCATCTCCTTGGTAGATACCACATTTGATGGTCACTTGTGCGAGCGGCTTGCCATTTGCCTCAAGGGTGGTCTTCCACATTCCCATCGAGTTTGCAACGAAGTCCCTTAGAGCCCTGTTGATATTGTACAACTTCAAGCATTCCATGATCCATGTGTGTGGCATTGAGTCGTAGGCTTTCTGGTAATCAATCCAGGCTGTGCACAGGTTGGTGTGTCGTGACCGGCAGTCTTGGGCGACTGTTCTGTCAACCAGGAGCTGGTGTTTGGCTCCTCTGGTGTCCCTACCAATGCCCTTCTGTGCTGTGCTCATGAATTGTTCCATATGCCCACTTATCTTAGCCGCAATGATGCCTGACATGAGCTTCCATGTTGTGGAGAGACAGGTTATTGGCCGGTAGTTGGAGGGGACTGCACCCTTGACAGGGTCCTTCATGATCAGGACCGTTCGCCCTTCGGTTAGCCATTCTGGGTGAGTCCCATCTCTCAGCAGCTGGTTCATTTGTGCTGCTAGGCGCTCATGGAGTGATGTGAGTGTCCTTAGCCAGTAGGCATGGACCATATCAGGGCCAGGTGCTGTCCAGTTTTTCATACCTGAGACTCTTTCTCGGATGTCTGCCTCTGTGATGGTAACTGAGTTCTGTTCTGGGAGGTGGCTGTGCTCCTCTCTCAGGGACACCAGCCATTGTGCACTTCTGTTATGTGCTGCATCCTTCTCCCATATGTTCCTCCAGAACTGTTCAGTTTCCAGCCTCGGTGGATCTGCTCCCCTGTTGTTACCCTGCCACTGAGCGTACACCTTCGCAGGTTGTGTTGCGAACAGCCTGTTCACCCTTCTGGCTTCATTCTCTTTAGTGTACCTCTGTAGGCGGCTGGCCAGGGCTTGGAGCCTTTGTTTGGCAGTTTCGAGTGCTTCAGGTATGGTCATCTGGCTGTACTTTCTGGGTACTGGTCTTTTCATTGCACCTCTCTGGGCCTCTGTTAATTGACTCACTTCTCTCCGAGCCGCCTTGATCTTTGATATATATATCAAAGATATATATATCTTTGATATATATATGTATATATATATACATATATATATATATACATATATATATATATATACATATATATATATATATACATATATATATATATATATACATATATATATATATATATATACATATATATATTTATATACATATATATATATATATATATACATATATATATATATATACATATATATATATATATATATACATTTTTTTTGTTGTATACCATTGGTGGTAGTATCGTATTGAAATTCTTGGCAAAATGTACAGTAGTATTCTTGTATACCATTGGTGGTAGTGTTGTATTGACAATAGTACTTTGTAATGTGATTTTTGGATTATTTTGACGGGTGTTGTGTGGGTGAGAGGGTTGGGCTAAAATAAGCATAGTGCTTCATCCAACCCCTTTTCAAACCTTGAACATGTGTCTGAACATTTGTCAAATGTGTCTTCTGTGCAGGTTTTGAAATAAAGAAATAAATTCAAATTCAAATTCAAATTGAGTGATTGTTTACTAGAATAAATAAATCTTAAATTGTTTGTATTATCAAGGCAAATATAATAGTTATCAGTGCATGTTACCTAACAGACCCTGATAATATCCGAATATAAGCCTATTTTCCCATATATCAAGGAAATTATTCTTGAATTTGGTTTACTTGTCTAGACAAATGTACTTGTTTTAAGTGTGGCTTTACTGATTTTAAGGTATATTTACTTACATTAAACCTTATTTGAAGATGATGGCACTAGCATATGCTGATTTTAAGCACATAGTCCAACATATTGAGCAAATAATGCTGAAATATTTTTCTTAAAATAAGCCAAATCTACTTGTTTTTAGTCTAAATATACTTGTTTTAAGAAATCCCTGGGTTTTTCGGGCTAGATAAATTCACTTGTTTTTTAAAATCTTGTCAAGTCAAATCTTCCTGTTCTATTGGCAAATAATTTTGCTCATTTTAATATATTGCTCAATATATTACTTTTTTTCTTATTTTTTAAAGATGACTTTTTGCAGTGTAACAAATAAAAAACTGAAAAGTGGGGCTTGCAATATTATTCGGCCCCCTTGCGCTAATACTTTGTAGCGCCACCTTTTGCTGCAATTACAGCTGCAGGTCGCTTGGGGTATGTCTCTATCAGTTTTGCACATCGAGAGACTGGAATTCTTCCCCATTCTTCCTAGCAAAACAGCTGGAGCTCAGTGAGGTTGGATGGAGAGCGTTTGTGAACAGCAGTCTTCAGCTCTTTCCACAGATTCTCGATTGGATTCAGGTCTGGACTTTGACTTGGCCATTCTAACACCTGGATACGTCTATTTGTGAACCATTCCATTGTAGATTTGGCTTTATGTTTTGGATCATTGTCCTGTTGGAAGATAAATCTCCGTCCCAGTCTCAGGTCTTTTGCCGACTCCAACAGGTTTTCTTCCAAAATGGTCCTGTATTTGGCTCCATCCATCTTCCCATCAATTTTAGCCATCTTCCCCGTCCCTGCTGAAGAAAAGCAGGCCCAAACCATGATGCTGCCACCACCATGTTTGACAGTGGGGATGGTGTGTTCAGGGTGATGAGCTGTGTTGCTTTTACGCCAAACATATCGTTTTGCATTGTGGCCAAAAAGTTCAATTTTGGTTTCATCTGACCAGAGCACCTTCTTCCACATGTTTGGTGTGTCTCCCAGGTGGCTTGTGGCAAACTTTAAACAAGACTTTTTATGGATATCTTGCCACTCTTCTATAAAGGCCAGATTTGTGCAGTGCACGACTGATTGTTGTCCTATGGACAGACTCTCCCACCTGAGCTATAGTTATCTGCAGTTCATCCAGAGTGATCATGGGCCTCTTGGCTGAATCTCTGATCAGTCTTCTTCTTGTTTGAGATGAAAGTTTGGCGGGACGGCCGGGTCTTGGTAGATTTGCAGTGGTCTGATACTCCTTCCATTTCAATATAATTGCTTGCACAGTGCTCCTTGAGATGTTTAAAGCTTGGGAAATCTTTTTGTATCCAAATCCGGCTTTAAACTTCTCCACAACAGTATCTCGGACCTGCCTGGTGTGTTCCTTGGTCTTCATGGTTCTCTCTGCGCTTTAAACAGAACCCTGAGACTATCAAAGAGCAGGTGCATTTATACGGAGACTTGATTAAACACAGGTGCATTGTATTTATCATCATCAGTCATTTAGGACAACATTGGATCATTCAAAGATCCTCACTGAACTTCTGGACTGAGTTTGCTGCACTGAAAGTAAAGGGGCCGAATAATATTGGACGCCCCACTTTTCAGTTTTTTATTTGTTAAAAAAGTTTAAATTATTCAATACATTTCATTCCACTTCACGATTGTGTCCCACTTGTTGTTGATTCATGACAAAAAATACATTTTTTATATCTTTGTTTGAAGCTTGAAATGTGGCGAAATGTTGAAAGGTTCAAGGGGGCCGAATACTTTAGCAAGGCACTGTAACGTTTCTGACACCTCCTGCTTAAAACCTAAAAAGTCAGAAGGATTGTGAGGCCCCACTGTCTGCATTCATACTGAAAATCAAGATCAAGCGAGCTTTTGCCCTTCTGCTCCACGGGAGGTTTCTGTCCTCCCTGAGCTTGCCTTAGGACACCTGCGTTACTGTTTGACAGGTGTACCGCCCCAATCAAACTCTCAACCGGCCACTGTCCCCGGAAAGGGTCAAGGCCGACGGGGCCGGGCGCTTAACACCTGAAGCGAGAGCCCGCTCGGAGCTCGCCTCACCGGGTAAGTGAAAGAACGATTAGAGTAGTGGTATTTCCCCGGCGGCCGAGGCCTCCCACGTATTCTACACCTCTCATGTCCCTTCACAGCGCCAGACTCAAGTCAAGCTCAACAGGGTCTTCTTTCCCCGCTGATTCTGCCAAGCCCGTTCCCTTGGCTGTGGTTTCGCAAGGGGGTATATAGGGACAGTGGGAATCTCGTTCATCCATTCATGCGCGTCACTAATTAGATGACGAGGCATTTGGCTAGTGAAAGACAGCATTTTGAGCCCCCGCCATTACCGTGACCGTACCCCTTATCCTCGGGGGCACTTTGGTGCGGGTGGGGGATGTCCCGCTTTCCCTGCCTCCTTTTACCCACTCCGTCAGTAAGCCGAGAGCAGTATCGAGAGACAGGGTTCGGGTCATTGACGATTCCTACGGATGGCGCCATGAACCGTATCTCCGGAGAATAGTCGGGTCTCATGGTTACCGGGTCTCACTGTAGAACACAGATCTCCCGGTTGTCGCTGCTCAGTTCGGGAAGTTTAAAGTCTACCGTGGACTGGGGTGTAGGGGGCACCCCTAACGCCATCCATAGTTTTACCGGGCTACGACATTCGCGCATTTGAAAGGTGAACGGCCCAAAGTGTGATATACGAGTCCTTGCGAGACAGCCAATGGTTTTGGTCTTAGGCAGCAACAGTCGCAGGAAAGTAACCGGCCTTTTTAGTATCATTTCCTTCCGGCAATGCCTGTTTTGATTTCCTGGGTATCGCCATACACAAGGTGAGTTCACACCTTTCTTACCTCTTTGGGAAGGAGAGGTCTTTTAGGGGTCCGAGACGAGAAAAGCCACTTCGACTGCACCTCTTGGCCTAAGAATGCAGAACTTTATTATGAACTTTACAAACAACCAGAACAATTGGCAGTATCGAATAAAAGAGTCACACACCAAGTTTACATGTTTATCAAACGGTTAAACAGTTTGCAAGTATTGACAGTTCCTTGTAGTGCTCTCAAGGAGAGGTAACGGGCGAGTCCTTTCGTTTCCGTGGGGGTGAATCCGAGTCGCTCCAGGGATGTCTCATTCCCTTTATACCATTTCCCCCTGGCCCCCATTGGGAAACCCATGGTATCAGCTGACTTCACTTTCTTTTCCTCGCCCATGAGGGCATTCCGGAAAGGTAGGTACTTTGCCTTTTTCTTCTTTTCCATCGAAGACAACGTCGAGAGGGACGTTTCAAAGGATATGGCGACATCGATGATCAGTGCCAACTCTCCTTTGATGGCAATTATATCAGGGACTGCCAAACCATATTTTGGTGATCTAAGGTGCCGTTCCCTGAAGACCACCCATCCTTTTTCCTTTGCCCTTGTTGCTAGGATGTCGCAAATGTTATTGTGGTTTGACATCCTTTGTTTCTTGGTGGCCGGGCAGAGGCTAACAATGTGTATAAGCGTCTCATCGCCTTTCCCACAAAGGCGACAGGACTTGGGTCCATCTCTGTTCAAAGGAGTCCCCATGCAAGGCACCGTGGAAGACCTCAACCTTAGGGCCATAATGAAATCCGATTCGCTGAGTCTTGATGTCAGGGGATCTCTCAGCCAGGAGTTTGAGACCGCGTCGCCTTGGAAGCATTCCACTCCCATGCCCTGCCACTTTAGCTTAATCCAAGCCTTGTGTTCTTCCAGTTTCATTCTCTTGGAAGCGAGGAGTCTTGGGGCAACCTCGTCCGCTTTGCAATTGACAATTTCACCCCCGATTGTTTTTTGCAATTTCTTGATCCTAGCCTCCATGTTCATTAGCTCTGCAACCGAGTGGGTCAGTGGGTCCGAGGAACACAGCAGCTTGGAAGCCCTCCTCAGCTGCATGGCCGGTATAACTTTTTCCAATCTCGCCACGTTGAGGCCACCATCTTTGAACGAACTGTAGAAGATGCCGTTGGTTGTAAAGGTGGGAAGACCCAACCACTTCTTCAGTATAGAACGTACGAGGCCATCAAGCTTCTTGAGGTGGCCGGCACTGAGTTCAGAAAGGTTGGCTTGGTATGTCACTTTTGGCATTACGTAGGTTCTCAGAGCCAGGAGTTTTTGGCTTGGTCTGAGTGAGGCCTTATCGAGCTTCAAGACCGCCTCTTCGATTATTGGGACCAGGTTAGGGGTCAGAAGGCCCCTAAGCGGGGAAAATTCCATTCCCAGGTATTTGACTGTATCGGAGGCGGACAGCATCTGTACTTTCTCGCCTCCTAGTGACCATCGGGGACAACAGTTCAGTACTGGCTTTTTCTTTGCGAAGGAGAGCCAGAAACCCGAGCACTTTTCCGGATTTACATCGAGCCCAGTCTGTGTACTGAACGAATCCAGGATCTGAAGGTTCCTCTCCATGCCTTCCCAGGAGTCGCTCAGTAATATCAGATCATCAGCATACGCCAATGCTATGACCTTGTGTTCTTCCGTAACACAAATTCCCTGGCCGACTTTGTCCAGAGCATAGAGGAGCGGATCCAAGAATAGATTGAATAGAGTGGGGGAGAGAGGGTCTCCTTGTTTGACTCCTCTCTTGACCACAATGCGCTTGGATAGCCCGCCTTTGGCTCGTACCCTGGTGAAGGCACCAGAGTATGCATTCCTAATCAGCTTAACCAAGGATGTGTCGAGTCCTCTCTGATTCAGGGTCTCGATTATGACGGAATGGGGAATCATGTCGAAGGCTCTCCGGAGATCAATGAAAACTACTGCAAGGGATCTTTTTCCAGCTTTTGCGTCTTGTAATAGGCAGTTCAGCAACAACACATTTTCAGCACAGCCTGGGGAGGCTATGAAACCCCTCTGTCTAGGGTGGACCGGGCAGGCCTCCGTCAACCTCTTGTTGATCACACTGGAGATCACTTTGAGTATCACTGAGCTTAGTGTTATTGGTCTCCAGTTGCTCCGTGAGGTGAGGCGAGATTCCTCATCTACTTTGGGAATAAGGGTAGTGACACTCTCCTTCAAACAAAGAGGGATTTCACCCACTGTCAGCCATTTGTTAAAAGTCATCGCCAGCTTAGTACCCTTGGGGTCGAAGGCTAAAAGGTGGGCTCGGCCAATTTTGTCGGGGCCAGGGCTGCCATTCTTCTTGCCTGTCCTTATGGCCGACATGACTTCTGTTGCCGAGATTGGGAAGTATAGGCCAGAATTGTCGGCTTTAGGGAGGTCCCCAAACTCCTTCAAGCCTTTGTATGTACCAACTTGTCCCCAAAGTTTGTCATAGCAGATGCCGATTTCTTTTAGTGGAACTCCACAGGCGGACTTCTTCCCCTGTAGAACTTCCCTGATCACTAGGGATCTATCAGCGACATGGCGCTTTTGTGTATACCTCCAGGAGGAGGAAGAGCCCACGGGACCTCCCCTGGCACGACTCTTATCCGACCTTGTAGTCCATTTTCCCAGTCTCCATTTCTTTCGCAGAAGTAGCACCAAGGCATGTCCTTCCTTGTGCACCTCTCTCGCCAGTGGTTTTGAGAAGCCCAGGGCTTTTCTTATCCTCGAAGCCATTTTGTTTCTCGGTTGATCAACCGGTACAAGAGCACCCAACATGTCCATTGTAAAGATCCCCAAGGCTGCCACTCTGGGTTCCCCCCATCTTCCATCATTTTGCTCCAGGGAGGCCCCATATGCCAATGAGTGGGCTAGACGGGTGTGTTGGGTAAGGCCTCTCTTGGAGCCAAAGTTTCGCGAGCAGAAGGTACACTCAAGACCCACAGCAGCCGCTCCCACTGGGACTGGCCTCCTATTCTTAAGCCCACACCTGGAGGCATGCCCAGTTATGACTGACAGCGATGGGTTGGAGGTTTCGCATCTCCTGCACGAAATTAAGACATGCTTGGCCCTATGAGTCTTTAGGAAATGCAATTTGGCCATAAGTAGGGACTTTAGATTTGCGCCACAGACATTGCATTGACAAGATTTCCAGGGTACCCTGAAGTCAACCCAGGCATTGGACGACATTCTCCCTTTTGAGTCCACTGGGTTTTTAACCAGCTTCTTTGAGGTTGCCAGAATGGCTATGTTCTGAGAGACTTTGGGAGCAGGAAAAAGCGTTCTCCTTTTTGGGGCACCGGCTTTCGTTGGAGTTCCACCAAGGTCTGCTCCCTGTCTCCTCCCAAGTACACCTCTGGGAGACCGGAGTCCGAGTAGGTGGGCATCAGGGGTAAGGGACCTTTTCATCGCCTGATTTTCACAAAGGCAAGCCGCCTTCTGTTCCTGGTCTTTGTCTTTGTCTTTGTCTTTTTCGGGCCCCTTCTCCAGCCAGCTAGCCCCTCCTAGTCCACCTGGGCAAACACAAGAGAGGGGAGAGGAGTGCTTAGACATTCTACCAACAATATTGCATAAGTACAAGATAACCCAATATGTTTGGAGTTGCAGCAGATGAGTCCCCACCCTGGACACACCAGGGCTGGGGACATTGTAACCCCTCTCCAAGAGTGAGGGGTAAACATTTTTGGACCAGGGATGACATGGGCAGCGATTGGCAACACTGTCCACTGGCTCCGGCCTGTACACTTCCTTAAGAGAGTCATAGTTACTCCCGCCGTTTACCCGCGCTTCATTGAATTTCTTCACTTTGACATTCAGAGCACTGGGCAGAAATCACATCGCGTCAACACCCTGCATGGGCCTTCGCGATGCTTTGTTTTAATTAAACAGTCGGATTCCCCTGGTCCGCACCAGTTCTAAGCCAGCTGCTAGGCGCCAGCCGAGGCAGCTGGGGAGATCCGCGAGAAGGGCCCGGCGCGCGTCCAGAGTCGCCGCCACCACAGACATACCCGACCCCTCCAGACAGTCCGCCCTGGGCCCGGCGGCGGACACCGCCCGCGAGAGCCCCTGCCGTTCCCCGGCTCGGGCCGGGGGCGGAGGACCCCCACGGACGGGCCGCGCGCCGAGCTTCCGGCACGTGCCCAGACCCGCTTCGCACCCCAGCCCGACCGACCCAGCCCTTAGAGCCAATCCTTATCCCGAAGTTACGGATCTGACTTGCCGACTTCCCTTATCTACCTTGTCCTTACATGCCAGAGGCTGTTCACCTTGGAGACCTGCTGCGGATATGGGTACGGCCTGGCGCGAGATTTACACCTTCTCCCCTGGATTTTCAAGGGCCGACAAGAGCTCACCGGACACCGCCGGAACCGCGGCGCTTTCCAGGGCACGGGCCCCTCTCTCGGGGCGAACCCATTCCAGGGCGCCCTGCCCTTCACAAAGAAAAGAGAACTCGATGCACTAACCCTTGGTTGCACTCCTTCGAAGAAGGTTGAAACTTGGAAAAAGGATCAATGGGTCAGGAGTGAGCAGATTCAAAGGTGGCCTGGCTGGATCTTTCTCCTCCTTGAAGTATGCCCAAAGGAGATACGAAGCTGACAAGTCCTTAGTAATCAAGGAAGTTCTCCAGGGAAAGAAATCCTCGTGTAAAGTCCCCCTGAATGAAATCAGCTCGTGTTACAAAAAGCTCTGGGGGCAGGCTGGGGACTACAAAGGCCTGAAAGAATTTGGTGACCTCCCGAAAGCTGATAACTCTGGCCTATGTTTTCCAATATCTGCTGCAGAAGTTGTCTCAGCAATAAGAGCCGGTAAAAGAAATGGAAGCCCGGGTGCTGATAAGATTGGAAGAACCCACTTGCAGTCCTACGACCCCAAAGGGACTAAGCTTGCATTACTTTACAACAAATGGTTAGTTGTTAAAAGGAATACCAGACTGTTTGAAAGAGAGCGTCACCACGCTAATTCCCAAGGTGGATGACGAATCTCTCCTCTCTGCTCTTAAGAACTGGCGACCATTAACACTGAGCTCAGTGTTGCTGAGAGTTTTCTCCAGCGTGCTAAACAAAAGATTAAGTGAAGCCTGTCCTACCCACCCCAGGCAGAGGGGTTTCATAGCCTCCCCGGGCTGTGCTGAGAACGTGATGCTCCTAAACTGTTTGGCCAAAGACACGAAGGCTGGAAAAAGGTCGCTTGCGGTGGTCTTCATTGACCTCCGCAGAGCCTTCGACATGGTTCCTCATGAGCTCATTCTTGAAAGCCTCAGGCGCAGAGGCCTTGACTCAACACTTGTCACTTGTATCGCAAACGCATACTCTGGCACTTTTACTAAAGTGCGTGCAGAAAAAGGACTATCAAAGCGGGTGATAGTGAAGAGAGGGGTCAAACAGGGTGACCCTCTCTCTCCGACTCTCTTCAACCTCTCGTTGGACCCATTGCTTTATGCTCTGGATAAAGCGGGTCATGGAATATTAGTAACGGAAGAACATAAAGTAACAGCACTGGCATATGCTGACGATCTAATTCTATTGAGTGATTCATGGGAAGGGATGGCCCGGAACCTGCAGATCCTCGACTCTTTCAGTGCTCAAACTGGGCTGGAAGCAAACCCTGATAAGTGCTCAGGGTTCTGGCTTTCCTTTGTCCTGGGCAACTCTTTTTGGCCATTCTTTTTAGAGTTCGAACCACTTCCATCCCAGTCACTACTGGATGGAATTCAGTGTTATTTGCAACCGAGAGTTTTCCGAAGCCAGCCAACGACTTGAACCTGTCACGCACGCTCCAGATCTGTTTATAGGTCTCCTCAATGGTAGCCCTTGGAAGCTCGCAGTTTGGTGGGGCACCATCGAGGATAAGCTGCACGGCTTTACGGGGGTTTTTCCTCCACAAGTCCTGGGTCAACTTGAACACCACTCTGATGCTCCTTGGCAGACGGAGTGCATGTCGGATCTTAGTTTGGCCCTTGTACTTGGTCAGACCAAGTTTAGTCCTGAACTTATTTACCAGATTCCGGGCTTCTCTGTTAATACCAACTCTTGAGGTCTGACCAGGGGCACCCCAGTTGGCTCGCATGGACCCTTGGGACACTCGTCAGAGGCGTGTTAAGTTTCTCCAGGAGGCTGGAGAGACCCGGACCCGGAGGCCTTTGCAGCAACAGACCTTTGGATTTTTGCCCCATCTCCAGGTAGGCACCAAGGTGAGCCAGTCTCAAGTGTTGGGAGAGGCCTCTCTGTGTCTTCAGGAGTTTGGTACACAACGCACAGGCGAAACCTCCCTCATCCCTTTTCACCTCTCGCCCGACCCTGCATTTGCTCGCATGACCCGTCATGGAGCTCGTTTTAAAGGATGAGGTCATGTAGCACACAGCAGGAGGATTCTCCTAGCGCCATGCATCTTTCTGAAGTGGGCTCCAGCCAGTCCCAAGGAAGAAAGGTTGGCTGCACATAAGGGACAGGGAGACGGGGTTCTCCATGGTGCTCTGAGTCCGACCCACACATGTGAGGGTAACTTGCCCTTAGAGAGCTCGGGTAATCCCACAATCTTTGTCGTGTAAGACATGAAAAGTATGCTCTCAAGGGGTTTGGTCCTAGGGAAAAGCGCCCGCCTGAGGCCCTCATTAACGGCTCCATGTGGCAACTGTGGCGGAGGGGTGGAGAGCCGCCTCGGTAGTTCCCATCTTGGTTTTTTCACAACCTGCAGACTTGAGGGGGCTTGCTGGGCACCTCTCTTCCCCAGCGTCGGGGTGTGGAAACCGGGGTTTGGCCAGGACAACTGTGGTAGGGACTTGTCCGCCATTCCAACACCCCAATCTGCAAGAGTAACGACAGTTAACAGTTAGGGAAATCACTGAGGAGCTGCAAGGGTGGACAAGACCGCCCTAAGCAACCCCATGGACCGGGGAAACAGTGGCGGCCTCGAGAACCTCACAGCTTTCTCAGGGCGATACACTCCCGAAGGACGGAACAAGGTCAGGCCCGCGCGACCCGTAACTGTAACGACCAAGTGCTCAGTGTCCAAGCAGTCAACCACCCCCTATAACGCTGGACAATAGGAGGGTGCTACGAGGGTTATGAACACAAAGCGGCCACCGCAGCCTGACGCACGCTTAGCAAACGAGACACAGGGTCACGACCATCAAGCTGTATGCCCACAACCACCACATTTTGGCGAACCCGGCCGAGACGAACAACCCCAAGATCCGGCAAGCCGGACCAGGGAGAAGCCGCAACGGCCCCGAACGCCATATGCCGCGACCCGACGCACGCCCAAGAACCAGGGAACCAGGTCACGAGACCCCGGCCATACGCCAGCCGCCACCGCACCCAGGTAGACACGGCTGAGACGACCAACCCCAAGGCCCGGCGGACCGGGCCAGGGGGGAGGCCGCAAAAGCCCTGAACACCATAAGATCCTCCAACTTAATGCACGATCAAGAGACTCAACACAGGGCAACGCCAGCTCAATCGCACGCCCGCTATCGCCACGCCCTGGTGAACGGGACGGAAACGACCACACCCCAAGTCCAGCGGAGCAAACAAGGGAGAGATCGCAACCGCCTCAGACACCATTTAATCATCGAGGTCCGACGCCCGCCCGGGGAACGGCACCCAAGGCGACAGCCCCCACCCACTGCCAGCCATTTGTTAAAAGTCAGAGCAAGTTTAGCACCCTTAGGGTCGAAGGCCAGAAGGTGGGCTCGGCCTATTCTGTCGGGGCCAGGGCTGCCATTCTTCTTGCCTGTCCTTAATGCAGAAATGACTTCGGTAGCCGAGATCGGGGAGTATAAACCTGGATTGTCAGCTTTAGGGAGGTCCCCAAACTCCCCCAAGCCTTTGTACGTTCCCACTTGTCCCCAAAGTTTATCGTAGCAGATGCCGATTTCTCTCAATGGAACTCTACAGGCGGACTTCTTCCCCTGTAGAAATTCCTTGATCACTAGGGGTCTATCAGCAGCGTAACGCTTTTGTGTATAATTCCAGGAAGAGGAAGAGCCCACGGGACTTCCTCTAGCTCGACTCTTATTTAACCTTTTAGTCCATATCCCAAGTCTCCATTTCCTTCGTAGAAGTAGCACCAAGGCACGTCCTTCATTGTGCACTTCTCTCGCAAATAATTTCGATAAGCCCAGAGCTTTTCTGATCTTCAATGCCATCTTGTTTCTCGGTTGTTTAACCGGTTTCAGAGCACCCAGCATGTCCATTTTAAAGGTCCCCAAGGTTGCCACTCTTGGTTCCCCCCATCTTCCATAATTCTGCTCCAGGGAGGCACCATACGCTAGTGAATGTGTTAGACGGGTATGTTGGGAAAGACCTCTCTTAGATCCAAAGCTTCGCGAGCAGAGAGTACAATCAAAACCCACGGCAGCAGTTCTCTTTGGGACTGGCCTCGTCTTCTTAAGCCCACACCTGGAGGCATGCCCAGTTATGATCGATAGCGATGGATTGGAGGTTTCGCATCTCCTGCACGAAATCAAGACGTGTTTGGCCCTGTGAGTCTTCAAGTAGTGCAGTTTAGCCATAAGCAGGGACTTTAGATTTGCGCCACAGATAGTACATTGACATGGTTTCCAGGGTACCTTGAGGTCAACCCAGGCATTGGACGACAGTCTTCCTTTTGAGTCTGCTGGGTTCAGTACCAGCTTCATCGAAGTTGCCAGAATGGCTATGTTCCGAGAAATCCTAGGAGCAGGAAAAAGTGTTCGTCTCGTTGGGGCACCGGCCTTCATTGGAGTCCCGCTAAGGTCTACTCCATGTTTTCTCCCCAGTACACCTCTAGGAGAACGGAGTTTGAGCAGATCCTTCTTTGTGGGAAGGCTGCCGAGGGGGGCCACCGTAATTTTCTTAGACCTTGAATGGGCATTAGGGGTAAGGGATCTTTTCATCGTTTGAGTTTCACAACGGTAAGCCGCCTTCTATTCCTGGTCTATGTATTTTTCAGGCACCATCTCCAGCCAGCTAGCCCCTCCGAGTCCACCTGAAGCAAACACATGAAAAAGGAGGGGGAGTGCTTAGAGACATTCCACCAACAATATTGTTCAGGTACAAGACAATCAAATTCGTTTGGAGTTGCAGCAGATAAGCCCCCACCCTGGACACACCAGGGCTGGGGGCAACGTATCGACTTCGGGCCATATTCCACGTGACATTATGATTCGGACTTAAGCAAATAAACCCCCACCCTGGACACACCAGGGCTGGGGGAACCATGTCAGCCTCAGGTCCGCAGTCAGGCGACATTTCGGATAGGAATTTAAGCAGATAAGCCCCCACCCTGGACACACCAGAGCTGGGGGCACTCAAGTCGGACTAAGACAGTAGTCAGGCGACAATTCGGATCGGGCCTAAAGCACATAAGCCCCCACCCCGGACACACCGGGACTGGGGGCAAAGTATCGGCTTCGGGCCATATTCCGAGCGACATTATGATTCGGATTTGAGAAAATAAACCACCACCCCGGACACACCAGGGCTGGGGGAAACCATGTCAGCCTCACGTCCGCAGTCAGGCGACATTTCGGATAGAACCTAAGCAGATAAGCCCCCACCCTGGACACACCAGGGCTGGGGGCATAAAAGCTCATGAAAAGATCTTGTTGGGTAATCAAACTTCAGTCAGATAGTTGTTACTTTATAAGTGACTGCTGTGTATCAGTCTCACTTCGTCCTTGTTGTCCCCCTTCCAAAAGGGAGAGGGACTATTGGACCAGGGGTGGCATGAACAGCGATTAGCAACACTGTCCACTGACTCCGGCCTGTACACTTCCTTAAGAGAGTCATAGTTACTCCCGCCGTTTACCCGCGCTTCATTGAATTTCTTCACTTTGACATAGCACTGGGCAGAAATCACATCGCGTCAACACCCTGCATGGGCCTTCGCGATGCTTTGTTTTAATTAAACAGTCGGATTCCCCTGGTCCGCACCAGTTCTAAGCCAGCTGCTAGGCGCCAGCCGAGGCAGCCAGCCGAGGCAACCCGCCGGGCGCCCGCGCGAACGGGACCCGGCGGACGCCGTAGCTGGGGAGATCCGCGAGAAGGGCCCGGCGCGCGTCCAGAGTCGCCGCCACCACCGACATACCCGACCCCTCCAACCAGTCCGCCCTGGGCCCGGCGGCGGACACCGCCCGCAAGAGCCCCTGCCGTTCGGCGGAGGACCCCCACGGACGGGCCGAGCTTCCGGCGGCGGAGGAGGGGGGGCGACGGGGCGGCTGCTCCACCAGCAACTCACTTCTGTTCGGTCTTCCCAACAAATCCCTCCAGAAACTGCAGCTCCTTCAAAACGCTGCAGCACGAATCATCACACGGACCCCTACCTCTCACCACATCACCCCTGTCCTACAACAACTCCACTGGCTTCCCATAAAACATAGAATCAACTTCAAAATCCTCCTCATCACATTCAAAGCACTTCATAACCTGGCCCCTCCGTACATATCTGACCTCCTCCACATCGCAATTCCTGCCCGCGCACTCCGCTCCTCCTCCACTCTCAAACTCTCCGTTCCACCGGCCAAACTCGTCACCATGGGGCACAGAGCATTCAGTCGCTCTGCTCCCCAGCTCTGGAACTCTCTCCCCTCCGACCTCCGTAACATAGACTCCCTGCCACTCTTCAAATCCAGACTCAAAACTCACCTGTTCAGACAGTCCTATAACACCTAGTTATGCGCGCACCCTCTCAATATTGTACTCTGTTTTATTCTGTCGCTCTTGTTTTTATTGTTTTTAATGTGTCCATTGTACAGTGTCCTTGGGTGTTCTGAAAGGCGCTTTCAAATAAAATGTATTATTATTATTACGTGCCCAGACCCGCTTCGCACCCCAGCCCGACCGACCCAGCCCTTAGAGCCAATCCTTATCCCGAAGTTACGGATCTGACTTGCCGACTTCCCTTATCTACCTTGTCCTTACATGCCAGAGGCTGTTCACCTTGGAGACCTGCTGCGGATATGGGTACGGCCTGGCGCGAGATTTACACCTTCTCCCCTGGATTTTCAAGGGCCGACGAGAGCTCACCGGACGCCGCCGGAACCGCAACGCTTTCATCTTGCAATAGTAATCCTGCTCAGTACGAGAGGAACCGCAGGTTCAGACTTTTGGTGCATGTGCTTGGCTGAGGAGCCACTGGTGCGAAGCTACCATCTGTGGGATTATGACTGAACGCCTCTAAGTCAGAATCCCTCCGTGTCCCTGGGCCTCGCGGATCACTTTTTATTGAATTTTGAAGCCGTTGTAGCACCAGGCCCACGTCTCAGAGCTGCAGAGATGGGAATAACGGCGTTACTAGTAACGGCGTTACTAACGCCGTTACTTTTTTCAGTAACGAGTAATCTAATTAATTACTTTGACTGTAACTATAACGCCGTTATCATTGCCGACACCCCGTTACTGCGCGTTACTCAAGTCGCACAATTAACTTTTTTTTTTTTTAACTCCATGATAGGACTTGTGCGCGTGTTGACATGAGAGAATCATTGGCTGATGTATAGTAAGATTACGTCTTTTCAGCCAATCAGAGACATTGTGTAAGTAGGTGTTTCCGCATTCATAGTGGCGGGTGTTTAGCGCTTACAGCAGCACACAGAGAGAGATGGAGAGTGAGGAGGACTCCAGCGGCAAAACAGCCTTCTCCAGATGGAAATATCGCCACTATTTTAAACTCACAGAGGTTAGAGGTAAAAATGTGCACGTCGAGTGCACATTATGTTTAGGAACGAAGCAATTGTCGACGTCGTATATTAGCAACTCTAACTTAATGAAGCATCTTTTGACGGCTCACGCTTCAACCAAATTAGTGGCCCAAGAGAACACAGGTAGTAGGGAGGCTAATGTTGAAAAAGGATCCGCTAACAGGGAAGGACCCTCCCCATGCAAGCAACAAAAACTTGACTTTAGTTCCTCTGTGGCTGCTCCCCAGAAACTATCTCAGACAGAGCTCTATGGCTTGATAGGGAGATACGTTGTGGAAAACATGCTTCCGATATCAACAGTAGAGTCAAACTCCTTCAGGGCGTTGATAGGCAAAATCCCAAGAAAAGGAGGCGTCGGCCCGCCCTGTAGAAAGACATTTTCGACATACATTGATACCGAATATGCCAACATGAATGCTAAGTTAAAAAAAGAATTCGAGAAGCTGGAATACTTGGCTACAACTGCAGATATATGGACAGCACATAACAAAAGCTACCTAGGCGTAACTGCACACTGGTTGGATCCAGTAAATATGCAACAAAAAAAAGCTGCCCTGGCATGCCGACGGTTCAGGGGCCGTCATACCCACGAGAGCATTGCCACAGAACTTGAAAACATCCACTCGTCTTATGGCATTTCGCACAAATTAACGGCAACTGTCACTGACAATGGCTCGAATTTCGTTAAAGCATTTAAAAAATATCAGTCAATTGAGGAGGATGACTCTGTGGATGAGGAAGAGGACGAGGTTACTTTTGTTGACATAAATGATGTCTTGCAAGCCCGTGTTGATGAGGATGACGACGTGATTCATTTACCACCACACTACAGGTGTGCATCACACACACTGAACCTTGTGTCATGTTCTGATATTGAAAAGTGGATTCTCTCCAGACCAGAGAAAGCACTTTACAGAAGTGCAACTGCAAAATGCCTTGTGGAATAAGGCCAGCCGTTCCACAGTGGCCGCAGAGACAGTAGAGGATGTGCTTGCAAAGAAGCTGATAGTGCCTTGCAGTACCAGATGGAATTCTTTCTATGATGCTCTAGCTAGGATTTGCAAGATTCCCATAGTGGACCTCATTACTATCTCATCCAAGTTTGGCTCAAAAGCAATCACAGAAAAAGAGCATCAGCTCCTGAAGGAATATTGTATTGCAATGAAGCCACTGACAGTTGCCCTAGATATCCTCCAGGGAGAGGACAACTGCTACCTGGGCACACTGCTACCTACCCTGGAGACCTTGATGATGAAAACCCTTGAGCTGAAGAGTGGGCTTCAAATACTTGTGGACCTTCCAGAGGCAATTGTGGAGGTAAGAACTACATATCTGTCTATTTAAAAAAAAAAAGTATAATGTGTATAATTGTATGGATGTGTATAATTATAATAAATGTGCATAATTGTTTATACTGTCTTATATATTGTACTCAAAAGTGTGTGTGTGCGTGCTTGTGCGAGCCAGTTGGTATTTGCGTAGAGACGGTCAGTAATGTGTTCTTTGCTTTATGTCATTTCAGGCAATAAAAACAAGATTTGCAGAGGTGCTGGTCAGTGACAGCGCTCTCCTGGCTGCTGTGACTCTGCCCAGGTTTAAATTACGTTGGCTGCGAACCCAAGAAAGAAAGGACAAGGCCAAAGCAGAGCTGCTGGCGGTATGTCGTGCAAGTGTAAGAAGTGAAGACCAGCATAAAGGTACAAGCACTACCACACCCACATGTACCAGCTCAACTGTTGAGGATGCATTCTTCTCCTTTGATGATGAGGACGACAGTTCTGCTACTGCGGAAAGTCAAGTGGCAGATTATTTGAAATCAGGAGCCCAAGGGATTGACTCACTTCATGGATTTCCCCTTATAAAGAGAATTTCCCTGAAGTATAATGCTGCCACTCCATCCAGTGCTCCGGTGGAGAGACTGTTTAGCCTGGGAAAGCTGGTTTTCACACCAAAAAGGAACAGACTCTCTGACCACAAGTTTGAGAAGCTACTTCTATTGCGATACAACCACTGGTTTCAGGGCTAAAATGTTGACATGACTGGGCTGGGTGGATGGATGCAGAGAGGAATACATACATGTTTAGAGTTGGATTTTACAAACCCATGAACATTTCTAGTTCAATTAGCACTCCTGTAAGCTATATACTTTCTTTAAGTAACAAAATTGGAGCACTTTATGTCCATCCGTTGTGTACTTGTTCTGTTAAGTTAGCGTTGCATTAAGTGAAAATTTGTGCAGGTAACTGTCTTTGCTGTTGGTGAGACAACTGGGTTGGCTGGGTGGATAAACGATTGCACAAATGCAAAATGAACGGATGCATTTATGCACTTTAAGTTGGATTGAAGAAATCCATACACATTTTCAGTTTTAAGCGTCTGTAAGATTGTGTATTTCTCTTTTTTTATATTTTGAGAAGTGCATGTCCATCCGCTATTGTTTACATTGAGTTGCAATAAATGCAAACCTGTATGCAGGTACTTGTTTTTGTTGTCATGCATCTGGCTTATGAAACACGCTCTGAGAAGGTGGGGGCCAGGGGGGGCGAGAAACAAAAAAGTAACTCACTAGTTACTTTTTCTGGTAACTAGTTACTTTTATAGTGGAGTAACTCAGTTAGTAACTCAGTTACTTTTTGGGAGAAGTAACTAGTAACTATAACTAATTACTTTTTCAAAGTAATGTGCCCAACACTGCAGAGCTGTAGTACCAGGGTCACTGGTCTAACTTTAGTCTTTAGTCCTGGGGCTTTGACACACATCAGGAACTTAGCGCTGAGCCAAGAGCAGACTTTTGGAGCAGGCTGTAAACAGAGAAAGAAATTGAGAGAAAAGAAGACGTCTTAAGAATGCATTGGATAATTCTGTTTCCATGTTCGCCACCACAGGCAAGAAGCTCACTGACCTGTGTACGGAATGTGCTACATAAATAACCTTGACTGGACTTGAAGAGGCAAATATAAGTAAATAATGAAACTAGTGATAAAGTCAAATGCAGTTCTTACAGAGGGGAGTGGATACTTTTATTCCAAGCCACTCATCAGCCATAAATAAACAAAGACAATAAACTGTTGCAGAAGCTTTTCTTTTTTTAATTAAAGACACAAAACAGACAAGAACATGAACACAAAAACAACACAACATAAAACACAAAAGTACAACCACAAAACAGAACAAACAAGAAAAAATAATAATAATAAACATAGAAAATAAGATATAAACAAAAATAAATAAGTAATAACAAAGCATGTATGTGCATACATCCAATTCAGTAAAACATCTCCATTCCTTAGGTCAGGACCACCGGCACTTATCAAAAGTTAAATGTGTCCCAAGAAGTTGAAAACATGTTTTCTTTTAGTGTATTTATTCATTTCAATCATATATTCTTCACAAATTAAAGATGGATAGATCCACCTTTTGAAGTACTGAATATTCACTGAAAACAAATTTGTAGCTTTAAAAATAAAGTGCTTCCCCAGAGCGATAACTCTGTGTTAGCTAACATGGACCTGCATGTGTTAGCTAACATGTACCTGCATGTGTTAGCTAACATGAACCTGCATGTGTTAGCTAACATGAACCTGCATGTGTTAGCTAACATGTACCTGCATGTGTTAGCTAACATGGACCTGCATGTGTTAGCTAACATGTACCTGCATGTGTTAGCTAACATGGACCTGCATGTGTTAGCTAACATGAACCTGCATGTGTTAGCTAACATGAACCTGCATGTGTTAGCTAACATGTACCTGCATGTGTTAGCTAACATGTACCTGCATGTGTTAGCTAACATGAACCTGCATGTGTTAGCTAACATGAACCTGCATGTGTTAGCTAACATGAACCTGCATGTGTTAGCTAACATGGACCTGCATGTGTTAGCTAACATGAACCTGCATGTGTTAGCTAACATGGACCTGCATGTGTTAGCTAACATGGACCTGCATGTGTTAGCTAACATGAACCTGCATGTGTTAGCTAACATGAACCTGCCTGTGTTAGCTAACATGAACCTGCATGTGTTAGCTAACATGGACCTGCATGTGTTAGCTAACCTGTCCCTGCATGTGTTAGCTAACATGTACCTGCATGTGTTAGCTAACATGGACCTGCATGTGTTAGCTAACATGGACCTGCATGTGTTAGCTAACGTGAACCTGCATGTGCTAGCTAACATGGACCTGCATGTGTTAGCTAACATGAACCTGCATGTGTTAGCTAACATGAACCTGCATGTGTTAGCTAACATGAACCTGCATGTGTTAGCTAACATGAACCTGCATGTGTTAGCTAACATGAACCTGCATGTGTTAGCTAACGTGAACCTGCATGTGTTAGCTAACGTAAACCTGCATGTGTTAGCTAACATGGACCTGCATGTGTTAGCTAACGTAAACCTGCATGTGTTAGCTAACATGTACCTACATGTGTTAGCTAACCTGTCCCTGCATGTGTTAGCTAACATGTACCTGCATGTGTTAGCTAACATGTCCCTGCATGTGTTAGCTAACGTAAACCTGCATGTGTTAGCTAACATGGACCTGCATGTGTTAGCTAACATGAACCTGCATGTGTTAGCTAACATGTACCTGCATGTGTTAGCTAACATGAACCTGCATGTGTTAGCTAACATGAACCTGCATGTGTTAGCTAACGTGAACCTGCATGTGTTAGCTAACATGGACCTGCATGTGTTAGCTAACATGAACCTGCATGTGTTAGCTAACATGTACCTGCATGTGTTAGCTAACATGTACCTGCATGTGTTAGCTAACATGTACCTGCATGTGTTAGCTAACATGTACCTGCATGTGTTAGCTAACGTGAACCTGCATGTGTTAGCTAACATGGACCTGCATGTGTTAGCTAACATGAACCTGCATGTGTTAGCTAACATGAACCTGCATGTGTTAGCTAACATGAACCTGCATGTGTTAGCTAACATGAACCTGCATGTGTTAGCTAACATGAACCTGCATGTGTTAGCTAACATGGACCTGCATGTGTTAGCTAACATGTACCTGCATGTGTTAGCTAACATGAACCTGCATGTGTTAGCTAACATGTACCTGCATGTGTTAGCTAACATGTACCTGCATGTGTTAGCTAACATGGACCTGCATGTGTTAGCTAACATGAACCTGCATGTGTTAGCTAACATGGACCTGCATGTGTTAGCTAACATGAACCTGCATGTGTTAGCTAACATGAACCTGCATGTGTTAGCTAACATGGACCTGCATGTGTTAGCTAACGTGAACCTGCATGTGTTAGCTAACATGGACCTGCATGTGTTAGCTAACATGAACCTGCATGTGTTAGCTAACATGAACCTGCACGTGTTAGCTAACATGAACCTGCATGTGTTAGCTAACATGAACCTGCATGTGTTAGCTAACATGAACCTGCATGTGTTAGCTAACATGAACCTGCATGTGTTAGCTAACATGAACCTGCATGTGCTAGCTAACATGAACCTGCATGTGTTAGCTAACCTGTACCTGCATGTGCTAGCTAACATGAACCTGCATGTGTTAGCCAAGCCCCCAGTGATCCAAGATGGCGCCCTACTCAAACGAATGGCTTGTGCTCAGTAGCGCATGGGACTTCATGGAGACCGGGAGATTAGCAGAACTGACCATTGTGTGTATACCAGAGTAAACAAGGACAAGACTTACATTATAATTTGGGTTGATGAATTGATTATTGCAACCAGTGATGTAATTGTCTTAAAATGTGTGAAAGAGATGGTCCAGTCCAAATTCAAAATGAAGGATTTTTTTTGGGTATAGACCTTGAGCGGACAGATAGTTGTGTGAAGATGTCCCAATCCAAATACACACATAAAATATTGGAAAGGTTGGACATGGTGAAGTGTAAAGCCAGAGCTACAATCTGCGAACACAAACTGGACTACAGCGATGTTACCAAGTACAGAGAGGCTGCGGGTAGCTTCATCTACCTAGCAACCTGTACCAGACCAGATCTGAGTTTTGTGCTCAATAAACTGTCACAGTACTTTACAAGACCTACATTAGAACAATGGACCACTGTTAAGCACACTTCAAGATATTTAAACGGAACAGAAGACAAAGGCCTCAGTTTCAGAAAGTACATAGATGAGTCTATAATTTATGCTTACAGGGATTTTAATTGGGCTGCAGATGTGAGTGACCGCAGGAGCACGAGTGGTTACTGTACCAGCTACGACCCCTGTGAGTTTCACGCACGGGGGACAAGAGACGGGAATGTTACGGCGGTCTGAAAATCAGCGGGGGACAGCGCGGCCGCGTCCGCTCACGAGCGCCTATTCTCGGTCAAGAAAAGGGGGGTTTCCTGGGCCCGTAGAAGGCGAACCAGGGGGGCTAGAGACATGGGGTTTTCACCCACCCACTCCTCCGGACCTGGGCTACATCCTCCGTCAATTTCATTAATACTGCATAATGGGCTACTTAAAAGTTGCCCAAAATGGACTACTGTAACCTGATACAGTGAACACATGAGCTCATACAAGCTAGAGAGGCTGCTTTTCTGCCATTTGTATGTATAAAGTACACCTCTGCTGTATAAAGGTATCAAAACAAAATGAAGACTTTCGTTTTGTTATTGGCCTCCATGTTCTTAACAGAAAATGCATATTTAGACCTTTCAGAGATGTTAATAAAAATATAAATAGTTTGAAAACGAAATTTGACATGCACAAGATGGCGGCTTGTGACACAGCCTCCTCTAGGTTAATTTGAGGCAAAAGTTTTCACAAACTTTGCCGTGAGCGCGTGCAGAGCCTGCCCCAGTCAGAGACTCGGAGCTGGAGGACGGACAGAGACAGAACTGGCTATTACACAGTAAAATACAGTTTTAAAGTTAGCACTCTTGTTTACATGCTGTGTGCAGCTGCCGACAGGGAGAGAATGGTGACTAAACTAAGGAGTTATAACAACTATAGGGCTGGAAAGTCTCGTCCCAGAAGCACTTCTGGTTCATGGCTCGGATACAAACAAACCGTCAGCTGTTCGAAGAGGCGGTTTAAGTGAATGGTGCAAAATGCTCTGCTTTGTTTTTGGCTGTAATCATCACAGTTTACGCGACACATGCTCATTCTTTAGGTTTCCCAAAGACCAACTGAAGCTGTGGGAAAAGCTATGCAGTTCTGATAAAATATTTTGTCTGATTTCAGAGACAGTTAACTTGAACATGTATTCAAGCTAACTTGTAGCTAATGCTAACCTGTAATAGTGCGCGGCCAAGCCTTTAATTGTGGCTTGTATTTTAAGATAAGAAACTTTATTGATGTCACACAGGATAAATATTGTCTCTCAAACATTTATTTATTTGAGAGATAAAGGGGGAACATATTAACACGTATTAAATAACATTTAACAAATGTTCAAATATAACAGAAAACGGACAATCATTAGTATTAAATGAATAGGTAACCCAACTACATCATGTTATTTTTGACAGCACAGCAAAAAGGAAAAAGGCCCAAAGTGAAGCTGCAGTGAGTGTGAAGTGGAGAATGGAGCTGATGAACAGATAGAAAACTGATCATTCATAAACATTGGCTTATAACCAAAGCAGCAAAGACAGCTGTAAGGGACAACATCAATTTATTTGCAAAGGAATAGTGTTTCTATATTCTTTCTGATGCGTGATAGTGGATTAAAATACAATGAGTTTGAACCATAGACTGTATGTTTGAACACGGCCCTGTGCCTTTCTCATCTCCCCGTCATATGGAAACGTCAGCACATGGTCAGTTCACACAGAGACGAAATGTGTCCAAAATAACACAGGAAAGTCCATTAACGAGGAAGAAGTCGGCGATCTCCGCACCGTACAACTGGCACGTGTGGTTTGTTTGTATCCACGGGTGGAAATCTCGCAAAATCTCGCACTTCCGCTTTCCAGCCCTATTCCAGAGGCTGCAAATGCCAGCCATGCAATTAACAATGTCAAACATTTGTCAGTGCTGCTCTTCTGTATATTTTCATATTTTCATTATCAGTGATTCTAGAGCCAATTCCACATTATTGTAATTATATTCTTTACATTTGAAATTGTTTTACACATTTTCTTTAGAAAACGTAGCCCAAGTTACAATTGCAATGGGCTACTGAAAAGTAGCCCATCTTTAAGTTGGGCTACTACTACTGCTACTGCTGCTACTGCTACTACTACTGCTACTACTACTGCTACTGCTGCTGCTACTACTACTGCTGCTACTACTACTGCTGCTGCTACTACTACTACTTTTTTATGTTTTATGCAATAAAATGAGTCTTTGTTGCCTTTTCCTCTAGTTCTCAGTACCAGCACCAGCACTGAGAACATCACAGCTGTAAGTGCTCTCCAACTACTACTACTACTACTTCTGCTACTGCTACTGCTTCTACTACTGCTAATACTATGTTCCTCTGTCCTTTCATTTAGATGACTAAGCCCAAAGTGTCGGGCCAGTGCCCCATATGCCTCAAAGTTTTGCAGCACACAAGCAAACACATCCGCGAGGTGCATCGCATTAAAAACGCAAGCGAGAGGAGTATACTGAACGCCATATCCACTGGCAGGGTTGACATTGGAAAGGGAACATGCCCGGTCCCAGGGTGTGGTCTCTTTAGGAGACGACTCTCCAACCATATAGAGGGCCACAGTGATCTGCTCCCTGGCAGAAGGGAGGCCTACCAGCAGGTAGCCCACAGGGATGCCGCCTTGAAGCGGCTGTCGGAGCTGCGGGCTACCAACCCTCAACCTCCCATGGCCTCGGTGTTGGACCTTGAGGACAGCCTTGCCTCTGAATGCCGGAACCCCTCCTGCATTCAGAGGGAGTTCAGGATCCGGGAGTTGGAGGTAAAGTATATGATATTTATTATTTTCTCTTTGTACCTACCTCATTGCAAAAGGTAGGTACAAAGAGAAAATGCTTTTCTTTGAAAACGCTGTGATTTACTCCCAGTGCCCATCTGCACTCTTTGTGAGTTCTGCTTTATACCAGAATAAACGACTATTACCACTTATACTCACATGCCCTGTATTTACCTGTCCCCACCATAGAGCACTGACAAGGAGCCAGCGGTCGCCCTCGACCCAGAGGAGCCAGCGGTCGCCCAGGACGAAGGTGAAGAAGAGTCAGGGCAGTCTGGGGTCTCTGAGCCTAACCACCAACTGTCAAGTGGGGACCATGACACCATCGACCCAGATATCGTCCCCAGTGAGCCAGCGGTCCCCCTCGACCCAGAGGAGCCAGCGGTCGTCCTCAACCCAGAGGTGCCAGCGGTCGCCCTCGACCCAGAGGAGCCAGCGGTCGCCCTCGACCCAGAGGAGCCAGCGGTCGCCCTCGACCCAGAGGAGCCAGCGGTCGCCCTCAACCCAGAGGAGCCAGCGGTCGCCCTCAACCCAGAGGAGCCAGCGGTCGCCCAGGACGAAGATGTCCAAGAGTCAGAGGAGTCTGGGGTCTCTGAGCCTAACCTCCAGGAGTCCAGTGGGGACGATGACATCATCGACCCGGATTTCGTCCCCAGTGAGCCGATGGTTAGTCGGGATTCTAGATTCGAGACTTCAAGTTCCCCAAGGCAATTGGTAAGACAATTCATTAGTTCTCCAGCCTGCCCCGGAAGCAGGTGGGGGGGATCCTCTCAACGTGCATGGACCTATGAATAGCCGTTGAAACCCTGCTGGCGCTCAAGGGTTGCCCGAAAAATCAAAAAATAAACTACTGCTTGATCAGTCATTACTTGCCCTTGCAGCGGACTACATGGAGCAATATGGGAAACACATCTTCCGGCCCCAGGGGACAAGAAAAGTTCGAGAACTGTGTCTCACGGACTGTTCGAGCCAAATCGTTTGTGGCCTATATGATGTTCGGGTCTCCAAAACCCCATTGGGACTGGGGCTTTATGTCAAACATTGACCATCTAAGAGCGTGAGTTGGATCAGATTTTTGTTAGTAAATAAGTCTCATTTTATCTTTATCTCTTTATTGCCAATGATTAATCTACAGCTACCCAGCAGTCCTGAGGGCCTTACAGAAGAAGCCCAACACGGCCCAGACCTACTTCCAGCAGGTCAGGGCCTTTGTTGAATATTTCAACAATAAAGTTCCGAAGGCCTGTTGGCTCACTGGGGACCAGCGGACGAAGGTTTTCTGGGAGCTACAGAAGGTGGCCAAGGACACGGGCAGGTCCATTGCGGCGCACCAGCTGGCCGTGAAAGGCCGGAAGCAGGAGCGCCTGCTGTCCAAAGAGGCCCTGGTCGGCTGCATGCGGTTGGCCAGGGAAAGAATCCCCTCGCTCCTGGGTAAGGGTTCACAATTGTGTCGAGTCTATCGGGGGGGGTAGGGGATGCACTGTACAATATAGTTGACAGTTTTGATCATTTTTGTATAGACGCCGTCGAAGCCGCACCCCCCAAGGACTGGTCAACCCGGTTCCTTTTCCTGGGCTACCTGTCGGCCTACCTGGCGTGCATCTATGGGCACAGGACCGGGGTCTTCACGAGAATGACCCAGGCGGAGGTCAAAAGGGCCGTCGGGGACGACCAAAGCGGCTACCTCATTAATGTAAGTGTAAAATGGGGCTACTACTGCCACTATTTCATTCCCGCTCAGACGTCATCCATTCTCGCACCACAGTCACCTGTACAATCACCCTTTTTATCCCCCCCAGGTACTTGAACATAAAACTGTGCAAACGTACGGCCACGCCCAGGTGTACCTCACCGCAGAGGAGTACGGGTGCTGCCGGAGATGGCTGGGCCTCCTCCGACACACCGTGCCGAGCAACGTTTACTTTTTTTGTTCTTTTGGAGAAGGGCCGATCAAAGACTTACGGGGCTACATGGGGCGAGCCTGGACCGACATGGGCCTGGGTCCAGTGCCCACATTCATGGACATTCGGAGCGCTGTGGCCACCTAAGTAAGCACATCGTTATTTTCATATCTCACACTAATCTAAACATGATTCTGAACATGTTATCACTTCTTTCAGAACTATGAGTCAAACCAGGACCCAAAGACCAGGGAGAGCATAGCTCAATTCATGTGTCACAGCGAGCGAGTACAGGAAAAATTTTACGCGCTCCATAAAACTGAAGAGGGCCAAAAAGATACGGCAGGTCTTTGTTGCCCTCAGTTTGATGGAACCGGATGATGGGCCAGGCACCAGTCGGGACTGCCCTATTCCCCAAAAGGCTGTGAAAAGAGTACGCAACACATTTGGAGATTACATGAATGTTACATTGTTCTGTTCTTTCACTAATTCCATTTTTTTCCTTCAGCGCAAAGACTCCTTGACAGTGAAGGCGGCAAAGAAAATCCGCCATCTTTTGTCCCCTCAAAAGAGGAAATTGGTCAAAGAGCAACGGCAAATGCGGGTCGGTCTCCGGAGATTACAGATGAACACCACGTGACACGCACATATTACATTGCTTTGATAGATGTGTTAATTTTGATAGATGTGTTTGTTTTATTTATGTTTATTTAGTTCGTATGTTTGTATTTAAATCAATAAATGTGTCACTTTTTGAATGCTATTGCTCTTCATTTGCTAACATTAACTTTGGAATAGCTGTGGGCCAGGGGCTACTTTACCTTTTACTTCTTCTGCTCAAAAGTAGCCATTATTACATTTGCAGTGTGGGATATTAAAAGTAGTAGCTTTTCTCTCCACTAAAGCATGGCCAAATTATCCCCATGTGGGTATCTTCAGCACATATGCTGCTTTTACCCTGATTAACAGATTTTTTAAAAGATGAACTTGAGTGTTTGTGTGCTACTAAAATGCAGAAAAGTAGCCTGAGTTTAGTTTAGTTTACTTTATTCCAAGCCGGTACAATACAACACAAGATAAAATAAATACATTACGATGCTATACAATATTAACACATCAATAGAAAAGGAAAAAAATAAAAATAAATAAACAGCTTGGAAGGGAGTGGGATGAAGACAAGCTTATTTACTCCCACCCCCATTAAGTCCTCAAATATATGGTTGTCGCCATTTACAAGGAAATATAACAAGCAAAACCAGCGGTAGTTTTATAAACACATTTCCTACTACATATAATGTCAGTTATCTTAAATTTCTACTACGGTGGAACAATAAAGTATCTATCTGTTTATATGTATGTATATGCATGTATATGTGTGCTCTAGTCAAATAATCGCTCACTTTTATATTATATTATTATATAGTGAAATTATGATTCAATATCAATCAGCTAAATAATTTTGTATCTACTAGAATATAATTTTAATACCATACTATAAAAATAACCAACAATATCAATGATAATAATAGACATACAACACAGTAGACAATAATCAACGCACAACACTATAAGGGACATAAACAAAACATACTTCAGAGCCATGTACCATCACTGAATGTTTTTTTTATTGTTGGCTTAACTTTGTCAATATGATTTTTTACATTATTATATTACTTATAGGTAATGTGTATGCTTGTGTTGAATGCATTAATGTTCAAACATTTAGACTCAAATTCACCCATCTTCACAAACTGTTTTCTTCCCATTAGGTAACTTTGAATCCAGCTCAAAGCCAATCCCCTAATACCATATCTCTCCAGCTTCTTTAACAATATTTCATGACTGAGGGTGTCAAATGCTTTTTTTTAACCAATAAATAATCCAGCTGCATAATACTGCAGTTAATACTGCATTATGGGATACTTAAAAGTTGCCAGAAATGCATACAAAGTTGCCCAAAATGCAGTAAAAGTATCCTGTTAACACTGCATAATGGGCTCCTTAACAGTAGCCTGACTTACAACAGCAAAGTGGGCTGCTGTAACCCGACACCGTGAAGACAATGACCTAATACAAGCTAGAGAGGCTGCTTTTCTGCCATTTGTATGTATAAACTTCTGCTGTATAAAGGTATCAAAACAAAAGTGAAGACTTTCGTTTTGTTATTGGCCTCCATGTTCTTAACAGACAATGCATATGTAGACCTTTCAGAGATGTTAATAAAAATACAAATAGCTTGAAAACGAAATTTGACATGCACAAGATGGCGGCTTGTGACACAGCCTCCTCTAGGTTAATCTGATGCAAAAGTTTTCACACCTTTGCCGTGAGCTCCTGCCACAGTCAGAGACTCGGAGCTGGAGGACGGACAGAGACACAACTTGCTATTACACAGACAGAACTGGCTATTACACAGTAAGTACATGAATTCAAATACAGTTTTAAAGTTGCATGCTTGAACAATGTCATGCACATGTGTAGCACTCTTTACTCTTTACATGCTGTGTGCAGCTGCCGACAGGGAGAGAATTGTTACTAAACTAAGGAGCACTGTAAACCCTAACTTCAGTCGTTGTTCTGCCTCCGTTTTTTAGTGGCTAGATGAAAACCCGTTTCATTGTGATTTGTAAATTTTAATTTATTTGTTGTACTGACTAATTCTAGTTAATGAGTTTCTAATAATTAACTTTAAACACCATTTTTCTTATTGGTTTGGTTGCTATGCAGTTTTGGTTCATTTGGTTGCTTTGCATTGTTTTCTAGGCAGCAGAAGGCTCTCAAATGTAAACATGCTTGTTAACAGTTAGTAACAGTAACAGTCTGCTGAAGTTACCATAACCCTACTACTGCTGCTGCTACTACTACTACTTTTTTTATGTTTTATGCAATAAAATGAGTCTTTGTTGCCTTTTCCTCTAGTTCTCAGTACCAGCACCAAGGACAGCACCAGCACTGAGAACATCACAGCGGTAAGTGGTCTCCAACTACTACTACTACTTTTTTTTATGTTTTATGCAATAAAATGAGTCTTTCTTGCCTTTTCCTCTAGTTCTCAGTACCAGCACCAAGGACAGCACCAGCACTGAGAACATCACAGCGGTAAGTGGTCTCCAACTACTACTACTACTACTGCTACTGCTCCTGCTTCTACTACTGCTAATACTACTATGTTCCTCTGTCCTTTCATTTAGATCAGCCATTCCCAAACTCAGTAACACCGAGGCCCCCTTAAAAATCTGACGGGTCTGCGTGGCCCCCCAAAATAATAACCAAGAAGACAACATTAAGAATAGGCTCTTCTGGTTATTTTATTTTGGGGAAATAGCCTCTGCTACAAACATTGTAATACAAAAATGATTACAGTGGATTATTCAAGTCAAATAATGAACACAAATATTTTAATATTACAAACAAAACATTATAAATTTAACATTAAATAATTATATTATTTTTAAAACATTTTTATCACCTCCCGCGGCCCCCCTGCAGTACCCTCGCGGCCCACCAGGGGGCCGCGGACCCCACTTTGGGAGACACTGATTTAGATGACTTAAGGGGCGTTCACACCGGACTTAACTTCGGCGTCAAAAGCGTCAGGTTTCCATTGAAAGTGAATGGTGAAGCGCGTCAGGTGAAGCCGAGAGCCCCGGCGTCACTTGACGCGCGTCAAAAGCTTCAAGAGTCGCGCGTACTACGCGCTCACTTGAAGCTTTTGACGCGCGAAACGCTCGCGTATCAAAACAATCCCTTTGACGCCGAAGCTGAGCAAAGCTGAGCTTTTGAAGCTTTGACGCGGGCTTCAACCAATCAGGAGACGAGGAGCAGCAGCAGCAGAGGGTCTGTCTCTGTCATGAAGAGAAGTCATGTATCTACTGCTGCTGTTTTATTGTCATTATTGTTATTAGTAATATTATTTGTATGAGTAGTAACATTCTGAGTAACAAAAATCATTGTATACATGCTGTGTAGTAAACGTAGTTTATTTAAAATAAGAACAGGCTGACGATGAGTCTGGCTCAGAGCAAGGCAGCTCCGAGCGGGCGAGAGCCGGGGAGAGGCAGGGAGAGGCGAGAGCGAGGCGGGGAGAGGCGAGCGAGAGCCGGCGAGAGGCAGGGAGAGCCGGGGAGAGGCGAGCTCCGGGGTTTGAGAACTCAGACTGGGCGAGTGACATGCGGAAGTACCGCTGAAAGCGAAACTCCTCCGTACGCAGCTCCTGGAGTAAATGACGGAACTCTGCAAACACTGCAGCCTCTCAAGTCTGTGGTGAACCCAGCGCATGTTTTGTTGAAGCCCTACAACAACGTTATTTTGCTTTATATAACAAATAAAGGCTCGCTGCTCATTGAAAAATCCACCGCTGTCCTGACTACAGACAACAGAGAAGCTCCTCCCACCGGCGTCAGGCGCGTCACTCGCGTCAAAAGCTTCAAGCACCAAAATGACAAAACTATCCCGGCGTCAGTTGAAGCGCGTCAAAAGCTTTTTGAAGCTTTTGGTCTGAACGCGCCTTAAGACCAAACAGTCGGGCCAGTGCCCCATCTGCCTCAAAACCTTGAAGCATGTGAGCAAGCACATCCGCGAGTTTCATCGAATTGAAAACCCAAGGGAGAGGACGATAATCAACGCCATATCCACTGGCAGGGTTCACATCGGAAAGGGACCATGCCCGGTCCCAGGGTGTGGTCTCTTTCGGAGACGACTCTCCAACCATATAGAGGGCCACATTGATCTGCTCCCCGGCAGAAGGGAGGCCTACCAGCAGGTAGCCCGCAGGGATGCCGCCTTGAAGCGGCTGTCGGAGCTGTGGGCTACCGACCCACAACCTCCCATGGCCTCGGTGTTGGACCTTGAGGACAGCCTTGCCTCTGAATGCCGGAACCCCTCCTGCATTCAGAGGGAGTTCAGGATCCGGGAGTTGGAGGTAAAGTATATGATATTTATTATTTTCTCTTTGTACCTACCTCATTGCAAAAAGGTAGGTACAAAGAGAAAATAATGCTTTTATTTGAAAACGCTGTGATTTACTCCCAGTGCCCATCTGCACTCTTTGTGAGTTCTGCTTTATACCAGAATAAACAAGTATTACCACTTATACTCACATGCCCTGTATTTACCTGTCCCCACCATAGAGCACTGACAAGGAGCCAGCCCAGGACGAAGATGTCCAAGAGTCAGAGCAGTCTGGGGTATATGAGCCTAACCCCCTCGACCCAGAGGAGCAAGCGGTCGCCCTCGACCCAGAGGAGCAAGCGGTCCCCCTCGACCCAGAGGAGCCAGCGGTCGCCCTCGACCCGGCGGTCATTAATGACCACACCGCCGAGTGTGACTGCTTCCTCTGCTTCCTCTTTACCGTCATGTGAGGTATGCTTACTGCACACTGGGAACAATGTGCTCCAAAAAGCAGAAAAAGTAGCCCCTATTGCAATCGCGTTAGAGGCTACTTTTTCTGCGCCTTGGGGTATTCTTTAAAGGTTGATCGGAGATTGATTAGTCATTACTTGCCCTTGCAGCGGACTAATGTGGGAAACTCTTCTTCCGGCCCAATGAACATGGAGAAGTTGGAGAAACATGGACCATCTAAGAGCGTGAGTTGGAACCGATTTTTGTTAGTAAATAAGTCTCTTGTTTATTGGGAATGATTCATCTACAGCTACCCAGCAGTCCTGAGGGCCATAAAAAGTCCAGAAGCAGGAGTCCAAAGAGGTCCTGGTCAGCTGCATCCCCTTGCTCCTGGGTAAAGGTTCACAATTGTGTCACGCATTGTTCTTTCCTTTCTCTAATTCAATTTTTTCCTTCAGTGAAAACAGTCCGTGACGTGACGGTGATGGCTGGAAACACGCACACATTCCATTCTTTATTTTTATAGATTTGTTTGTTTTTATAGATGTGTTTTATTTTTATAGATGTGTTTTATTTAGTTTGTATTTAATTATTTTAAATAAATGTGTCACTTTTTGAATGCTATTGCTCTTCATTTGCTAACATAAACTTTGGAATAGCTGTGGGCCAGGGGCTACTTAAAAGTAGCCAGAAATGCATACAAAGTTGCCCAAAATGCAGAACTGGAAGGGGTCCAAGTTCAACTCGTGGACCCAATGTTGTAACATTCTTTTAGCTGTTATTTCTGTCCAGTGTATATTGTCCGTCCTGGTTTACAAATTCTTCTTTTGGCAGTTCTTTGATGTAGGGCATATTTTTCTCCAAGTGATGGTTAAGAAGTTTTATCACACCTCTCTCCTTTGGGGGGAGCTCTCTTGAGGTCTGGATCAGAGGCACTCTGATGTTGGCATTTGGAAATGTCTTTTTGGCTTCCCTGATCAGGCTCTGCATTTGTTTAATGCCTGTCTCGCTCTGTTTTTGCTGTCTGTTGTTCAGCCCAAAGGAGAGGACCACGCTCTACTTGGGGCTGATTTGGTGTGTTCCTGAGGAGTTCTGTCGCGTGAAGTAGATTGGCTCCGGGAAAGCTGTCGATTTGAAGGAAGGGAAAGGTGTGATCCTTGATCCTGGCGACATTAGAATCTCCCAGGATCAAAACGGGCCTGGTCACTCTCAAGGACCAGTCCTCCTTCTTCCTGTTGGTAACCTTATGTTTTTCTATTTTGTAGACTTGGCTTCCCTCTTCCTCATCCGTGTCCGAGTCTGTGGCTGGCTCCAGGTCAAAGTTTGCTTGCAGTGCTGGCGGGGGGTCAGCGTCGGTGCGATCACTTAGCTCCGAGCGTGGTTCCCGTTGCGAAGGCCCGGGCGAGCTGGTTGTGGGCTCCGGGGGCGGCTGTGTGGAGGAGTCCTGGGGGAAGCTCACTCCTGTGCCCCTCCTTCTAACTGGTGTATTAGCCTCGTCCCCACGTTCTTGGGCGGTAGGTGAGTTTTTAGAGGGGTCGGGAGTGTTTTCAGTCAGTGTGCTCATGTCCAGTTCGATTGGGTTTCTCTTAAAACAGGCCCCATCCAGAATTAGGTCCTCTACTTGCTGTAATGTGGTCTGTTTGATCCTAGGCAGACTGTTTTTGGCCCATCTCTTGGCTACCATGAATGCATCCACCCAGTCATGGTCCACGATGCTATCCATTTGGTCCACGTTGTATTTTATCTCTGTTTCGTAGTGTGTTTTGAGAATTTTAATGGTTTCTTGTCCCCAGGTGCGTGCATTTTCATTCAACAGTTGTCTTGTCGTCTCATTAAGGGCTGCGGGTTTGATCATGCTTTTAAGGTCATTTGCCAGACTATGGATCCTCTCCTTGCCTTTCGCCCCGTGTTCATCTGACAGGCAGGACAGATGGTGGGTCAGTTGCAGGGTCCTGTAAATGAGGCGGATAGACCTGGCCATGTGTGGGGGCGCCGCCTGTCTTACTGGTGAGTCCTCTTGTATATTGGGTGGGGGTCTGGGTGGGGATCTACGGGGAACTTCCCTCATCACGTCTGCGTAGGAGCGTGGGCCGCCTCGATAGCGCACGGTTGGGGAGATAGGCACTGACAGGTTAGGTAAATGTATGGGATCCCTCCTCCAACTTGTGGAGTCGGGAAGTGTACGGGCCTTATTTCTCCATCCGTGCTGGGCGGTGTGGTTGGAGTTCCAGGTGTAGTATAGGTGGTAGGTGGGCTCTCTCCAGTGACTCACTCTCCAGGGCTTAAAGTTTTCCGTTTTTTTTAAATATATATATAAATAAATAATGATTGCTGTCATTTGAAAAAGGTTCAAGTGTGTTCTACCAATTGTATGAAAGGATTGCATGTGTATAGCGCAGGGATTAAAGAGTTCCGTCTAAGTGACGGATTTCCGTCAAATGAAATTGGTCTGAAAAAAAAAAACAAAATATATAATAATAATATAATACACACAATGAAATGGTTAATTATAACAAAATATATAGTAATACGCGTGAATCTGTTGTATATATCTAGATATATATTAATAATTTGAATATAATTGTATTTATATGTATATAGAAATAAAAAGTAATATAATCACGAGTGGGCCTTGAACGTGCCGTGGCTAGCTACATGAGCGCTCCGTAAATGATTCAAGGCAATGGGACGTAGCCAAGTTAGCGATGGTAACACGGAGGTGAAAGTTTCTGAAAAGTGCACGGAGCTTTTGAAAAGGAGAAGAGGACAAGGAAAATGTAATCCCGAACGGAGCAATAACAGCCAGCAGCCCGCGGACCGGTAAGCTAGGCGCGTTATCAGAGGAAAGGTAGGACATAATTAACGTTTACCAAACGCAATGCTTTTTTATTTAACGGAATGTACAATATGTACTTTGCTGTGACTGGGAATGGGGACAAGCATGTCTTGGTGAGCTTTTGATAAATATCTTGGTGGCGATCCCCATGCAAAACTGCGTGATAAAAAGAGCCAATCAACGAGAGCGAACGGAAGAAACTCGCTGAAGAAAGGTGTGTGTTAGCAGGTCTTATATTCATTCATCAAAGCTAGCCTAGCATGCACGCACAATCACAATCATGGATCGTTGTTTATGGAAGAAGGAGCAGTATAAGTTGCTGTTGATAACAGTGAAAAATAAATGGAGGTGGGCATGGCTGGATGAGGTGGAGACGATGGGATTCTGTTGCTTCATGGTGCAAAAAGATGAAGGTGTCCGGTGCTTGTTCGTACTTCGCTATTATTATTTTTTTATATGGGAGTAATGAGAAAACAGCTTTGGATTCACCACCAGCTCAAAACTGCGCACTTGGCAGCTGTCCGTGCACTTTCCCACACTTCTTTACCTGGTGCATCAGATTCAGCGACAACTGAGACTAGGCTTGCTCTGGTGGACTGTGTCTGTGACCTAAAACTAAGAGTCTGTGGCTTTATCGCAGAAAATAACCTGTCGTTCAGAACCATCACTACCGCTGGTAGATTTAATTATCATTAATCATTTGCAGTTGATAAAACTGCGCTGTGCACTAGCACCAAGTTGATAGGGAAACCTTTTTCTTAAACATTGAGTGTCCACAAACAAATGTGGACAGAATTTTTAATGTCCTTTTGCGATATTTTGACGAGGACAGAGCCAAAGGACAACGCCTCATCTCGCCTCAAGTAAAGCCAATGATGCAGATGAACTACTCTCACTAATATTCTGTCAAAGAGTTGACAAGTTGCTTGATCCACTGGTTGTAATTTCACATCAAAATACACCAGTTTAAATGTATATCTTTGAAGAATTCGTTTGATCTGTAATTCATTTTATTTCCATGAGAAAATTTTCAGTCAAATCTTTTTTTTTTGCTTTAACCCCTGGCCGCTTATAAAAAACGCTTATTAGTGATCATTCTATGATTCATATAGATGGTTCAGGCTCAGGAATTTTTTCAACTTTAACCCATGACTCTCTCTCGCAGGCCCAGGGGGGGACTGCGGCTGTGGGCTCTATGGTCGCGTGTGGACAGACCATAGTGCAAGTGGGTCCCCTGTGGACCATTGCAGGCGTATGGTGAGTATCGTATGGGTCTGAGTGTTGGAGTCCAGTTATACTCTGGCATTTCGTTGTTTTTTTGTTGTTTTTTATTTTTTTTAAAGATTTTAATTCAAAGGAAATTAAAAGGGTTAAAATTCAGATTGTCCCCTTTATGAGGGAGACAAATGAGAGACCTTTAAGGTCTAGATGGAATATAAAAATTATGCGGGTTAAAAGGTGCTATATTGAAGGATAAAAACACAACGTTTCGACCGTGACTGGTCTTCATCAGGTGTAAAACAAAATGATAGCACGTTTGTAAGAGAACTGTTCATGATGTGCACTGTCTGGAAGGCTGTTCAGACTGAACCAGAAGTGTGGGAGGACTGGCCTCTTATTCTCTCTTCCTCTAACAGGATTGGTTGGTAGGATGATTGGGGCTGGTCTCCACCTGTGTGGGGGAGACACACCTGTCTTCTGTTGTGGAACAGCTGGTGATGGAGGAAGGGAGGATGAATAATATTATGGATGTGCAATGGTGGACAGGGAATGTGAGCCATGGGTGTGAATGTGGGTTAACCTTTGGGAGGGATCAGGGTGGACCTTGATACAAAACAAATGGATTGAATTTAATGCTAAGGCGGGATTCAATATTAAAAACTAAAATAATAAAACATAAATTGTTGACATAGATTGTCATGGTGGTCAGGGGTCAAGATGGTTAAAAGAATGGGTAGGTCTAGGTCAGTTGAATAAATGGGTTACGTTTAGGGTTGGGGGTCAGGATAGGGTTGGATAAGTGAGTGTAGGTCCAGGTAAGTATTGTTGGTTAATTTTTTATTAGTTTTGCAGGTCGTTCCCAGTAATTCCAGGTAAGTGGGTTAGGGTGGTCCAGGGTTGGGATTAGGTCATTAAATACATGGGTTAAGTTTAGGGCATAAAATAAATGGGTTAAGTTTAGGTCATTAAATAAATGGGTTAAGTTTAGGGCATAAAATAAATGGGTTAAGTTTAGGTCATTAAATAAATGGGTTAAGTTTAGGTCAGGATAGGGTTAGATTAGTGAGTGTAGGTCCAGGTAAGTATTGTTGGTTAATTTTTGATTAATTTTGCAGGTCGTTTCCCAGTAATTCCAGGTAAGTGGGTTAGGGTGGTCCAGGGTTAGGTCCTTAAAAAAATGGGTTAAGTTTAGGTCATAAAATGAATGGGTTGAGTTTAGGTCATTAAATAAATGGGTTATGTTTAGGGTTAGGGGTCAGGATAGGGTTGGATTAGTGAGTGTAGGTCCAGGTAAGTATTATTGGTTAATTTTTTTTTAACTTTACTAATGGCTGCTAGAGCTAGCGCGGCTACAGCTAGCGCGGCTACAGCTTAGCGTGAACGCGCATGACGTCATTACGCATTACGCTGCCCCTGGATGGTTTGACCCGAATCCTCAAATTCCAAGCATATAAAGACATGTTTTTAGGCATATAGAGGCAATTGCAGTGAAAATTCCAGGGCTCATTCTACAAACCAAGGCATTGCTGGAGAATGTATGTGGAAGACATTTTAATTCTGTATAGTTTTATAAGTGGTCAAACTTCCATATAGCCTCAAAGAGGCTATATATTCGGGTCAAACCATCCAGGGGCAGCGTAATGCGTAATGACGTCATGCGCGTCATGTTTCATCATCCCTCCTCCTGCTGGGGGACTCATGACCCCAGGGCCATGGGTCCTCTGTCCTCATCATCCCTCCTCCTGCTGGGGGACTCATGACCCCAGGGCCATGGGTCCTCTGTCCTCATCATCCCTCCTCCTGCTGGGGGACTCATGACCCCAGGGCCATGGGTCCTCTGTCCTCATCATCCCTCCTCCTGCTGGGGGACTCATGACCCCAGGGCCATGGGTCCTCTGTCCTCATTATCCCTCCTCCTGCTGGGGGACTCATGACCCCAGGGCCATGGGTCCTCTGTCCTCATCATCCCTCCTCCTGCTGGGGACTCATGAGCCCAGGGCAATCTGTTATCTATAATGTGATCTATTATAATATATAGTTTTATAAACCTGCATGTGTCACTGCTAATTTACACATCATGCGTTACAGCACGTACGCGTTATACGCGCAGCAGACGCGCGTAACTTTTTTCCATGTTAACCTATGATGATATTTACACTTCTAGCGTTATACGAGCGTATGACGGACGTATGACGCGAAGCTTCGCTCTAATTTAGGATGGATTTCTAATTTTGTGCGCGCACCAACGCGTCTCCCATTGAGATCTCATGTAAAACATGATTTTTCTAGCGGCCCTTGGCTCTAGATCACATCTACACACACACAGCACTTGTGTCTAAACATCAGCAGGAGGAGCAGCAGGTTTTACAGTGATTCTGGACATCGTTTTTTTTCTTTCATTAAGTCTGGCGTCTGGCCAAACCAGCACAGAGACCATGAAGACAAACACATGCATGTGATTTGTGTTGCTCTACATCAGTCTCTGTACTGTCCTCTACACTGCTCCATAGACTACACAGGGACAGCATCAGTCCTCTGTACTGTCCTCTACACTGCTCCATAGACTACACAGGGACAGCATCAGTCCTCTGTACTGTCCTCTACACTGCTCCATAGACTACACAGGGACAGCATCAGTCCTCTGTACTGTCCTCTACACTGCTCCATAGACTACACAGGGACAGCATCAGTCTCTGTACTGTCCTCTACACTGCTCCATAGACTACAGTCTTTGCTGCCCCCTGTGGGTGAAACGGGGGAGACGCTGATGGTCCCTTTTAGTAGACGCTCAGTTGAGGCTTGTGGCGGGGACGATTTTGGCCAATGAAACAGACAGAAGTTTTCTCAGGAAAAACAGACAAGAAACACAAACAAGTGTGTTAATTACCATACAAAACCAATGAATAATTATACTATTTTTCCAAAAGTATAATGCTCTCTAAAATCATTCTAACTTTTATATCACCAAAATGTAGGGAAAAAAACTTGTCCAGACGCCTTGGAGATAAAAAATAAAATAATGCCTCTTTATAATCTAACTCACAGTTCTGTGATCCTATGACTCCATGTCAGTAACATTATCGTGTGTATAAATGTAATTTTCTACAAAAAATATATTTGATAATAGTTCTTTCTTCACGGGAGAGAGAGAAAGACAGAAAGAGAGAGAGAGAGAGAGAGAGAAAGAGGAAGGGGAGGGGCCTCCCGAACAAAGGAAAACATGGAGTCTGAAATACTTTCCTCGTTTTTCTCGTGACAAGGTTTTAATCAGTGGTAAAAGTTTTTCTCACGTCAAACGACACTTTACATTTTATCCTTAAATACGTCAGTAATGGAAAACATTACTATTTGCTTACATGACTAATAGTCCCAGCAGAATCTCTTTTTTTTTTTTTTTTTTTTGATTCTCTGTAACTATTAAACATTACATCAGAATAAGAGAAAAACTCCCAGAACTGATCTTTTGTCATTTCTTCACATGAAACTCGTATACTACAGCCAAATGGCTCTCTTTTTTCTCATTAATCAGATCCTTATTATCAGAATCCACATTTTAAATACTTGGCTTTTCTTCTGTTTAAATTAATTGTACCCTTTTTCCCGCCCCCTGGGGGATATAGAAGGTTTTATTATCCTATCACTTCTGACCCTAAATCTGTCCCTATTTCTCTAATTCTATTCCTATTTTTTCACTAATTCACTTGTGCCTCTCTGCACGAAGGTGTGCCTCTTTTGCACTTATAAACCCTGTGGCTCTTTTCCTGTATATTCTTTTTTAGAGGGGACCCATGCTTCCCTCAAGGTTCAAAAACGTCGAAAAACCTGACTATTGTTCTATCGCGTCCGATAGAATCGCCCGTCACGGCGGTCTGCCACGCTGCAATCATGCTGGGCCGAGATCTCTCTGTCTTCTATTTAAAACAATGTGCAGATTTTAGAAATGGTATCTGCTTACCTGTGTTTTGCAGTAGAGAGCCCCAAGACCCAACAGACCCAGTCTATCTATCTGAGCTCATCTTGCGTCTTCTTTCTGTATCAAATCACGTCTCGGGTCACCATCTATCGTCAAAAAAAAGATTGACTGACGTGTTCAAAATTTGGTACAGAAATCAGACAAAAGATTCTCCAAGTTTAACATCTGTATTTAATTTATCTTTACAATCAGATACAGAAATTCCAACAAAGAGTGCTCTTAAAAGCTAATCCATGTCCCTCTCTTATTGCCCTGTGCTGACCTCCCCCCAGAACTCAAGCCAACCGTTTTTATCTGGACGTCTGATGACGTCACTTGTGGGCGTCTCCCGAATGTTCATTTTGGGTGTGCTGGCGTCCCGTGTCCACTGGGAGGCGTCAGAATGCCGTTGGTGAATCTCCCAGTCTGCCTCAAGATCAGGTTCTGAACTTTTGCCCTCGTCAAAATGTTTATTATTTAAAGTTTATAATTCGCCCTGTTTAAACAGCATTTTATCTTTATGACTCATGTCTGATTATCCTGTGTCCTTGAGACTTAAACTGTCTGAGAGAACAGGTCTTGTTTGGCTATGATGAAAATTAGGACCATCGTTCAAAATGGTCAAATTATTGTCACATCTGAATAGTGTAGATTTAAAATATACAACAGATGTGTTAGCTAACGTAAACCTGCATGTGTTAGCTAACGTAAACCTGCATGTGTTAGCCAACATGAACCTGCATGTGTTAGCTAACGTGAACCTGCATGTGTTAGCTAACGTAAACCTGCATGTGTTAGCTAACGTAAACCTGCATGTGTTAGCTAACGTAAACCTGCATGTGTTAGCCAACATGAACCTGCATGTGTTAGCTAACGTGAACCTGCATGTGTTAGCTAACGTGAACCTGCATGTGTTAGCTAACGTAAACCTGCATGTGTTAGCTAACGTAAACCTGCATGTGTTAGCTAACGTGAACCTGCATGTGTTAGCTAACATGAACCTGCATGTGTTAGCTAACATGAACCTGCATGTGTTAGCTAACATGAACCTGCCTGTGTTAGCCAACATGAACCTGCATGTGTT